GCCTAATTTCTCTAGCTAGGGCTTCTAGTACTATGTAGAATAGAAGTGGTAAAAGTGGGTAGCCTTACTTTGTTCCTGATCTTAATAAAATACCTTTCAATGTGTTTAATTTTCACATATTTGTGAATTTTCCTATTTTCCTGCTGTTCATGATTTCTAGTTTCATTTCTTTATGGTCAGAAAAGATTCTGGTATGATTTTGATCTTAAATTTGTTAAGACATTGTGACTTATTCTCTATCCTGAAATATTTCCATGCGCACTAGAGAAAAATGTGTTACTGCTCCTGTTGGGTAGAATGTTCTGTATATGTCTGTTAGGTCCATTTGGTCTATAATGTTGTTAAAGTCACTTATTTCCTTATTAATCTTCTGTCTGGTTGTTGTACACATTACTGAAAGTAGAGTACTAAAATCTCCTATTATTTTTCTGTTGCTATTTATTTCTCGCTTCAGTTTTGTCAATGTTTGCTTCATATATTTGAGTACACTGATGTTCAGTACATACACAGTCCTCTAAGTATTTCTTTAAATGTTTACTTAACAAGTTTTATAATTTTACAAGCTTTCATGTTGTTATCTAGAATATTTTTGTCTCAATTTGAAGACATTCTTTAGCATTTCTTGTAAGGCAGATAGAGTGATGAACTCCCTCAGCTTGTGTTTATGGGAATATATTAATTTCTCCTTTACTTTTGAAGAACAGTTTTGCCAAATACTGTTTTTGGTTGGCAAGTTTTTACCATTCCACTCCCTGCTGGTGTGTAAGGTTTCTACTGCAAAATCTGCTGGTAATCTTATGGGAACTCCCTTGTACATGTCAAGTCATTTTTCTTTTGCTGGTTTCAAAATTCTGTCTCCAACTTTTGACAATTTGATCATGTGTCTTGGTGTAGTCTTCTTTGGGTTCATTTTAGTTGGGGTCTGCTGGATTTTTTGAATCTGAATGTTCATTTCATTTCCCAGAATAGGGAAATTTATAGCCATTATTTCTTCAAATAATCTTTCTATCCCCTTCTCTCTCTCTTCTCCTTCTGACACTATCACAATGTGCGTGATCTGGTAAGTCTTCTAGGCATTTTAAAAACCACATCTCATTCTTTCTCTTTGCTCCTCTAACTGGATAATTTTTAATGACCTGCTTGATGAAGTCTGCTGTTGAATTCTAGTGAGTTTTTCAAGTTATTATAATCTTCAATTCCAAAATTTGGTTCTTCTAAATATTTTCTATCTCTTTGTTGATGTTCTCATCTTATTCATGCATCATTTTCCTGAGCTCCATGAACATCTTTATGAAGATGCTTTTGAACTTCTTGTCAGGTAATTCCTACATCTCCAGTAGGTGTCTGGAAATTTATTTTGTTCCTTTGGTTGGGCCATTTTCCTTGTTTCTTTGTGTGCCTTGTTACTTTGTCTTGGTACCTGTACGTTTGAAAAAATATCCACCTTTCCCAGGCTTTACAGATTGGTTTGGTACAGGGAAAGACCTTTACCAATCAGCCTGAGAGATTCTAGAGGCCTCTCAAACCTTTTCTGTGTATGTGTCTTCTCTGAATTTGTACATGTAAATTCCCAATTAAAGAGAGTTTGCAAAGTTTTTGTTTTGTATCTTTTTTAGGGACTTGTAACCTCTTGCTTCTCCTACCATCTGTCTGAGGTACTGCTGGCTTTCTGGAGGTGCTGCCAAGTCACCCAGCTCTTTTTTTGTCTCAGCAGTTCCCAGATATCTAGAGTACATTGGGTCACGTCAGCATTCTGAGTTCAGTAAGACAGAAACCAGTCCCCATAGGCAGCCCCTTGAGAAGCCCAAATGCTGCAAAGATGTTCTAATCTTCCCTTCCTCCCTACCTGAGAAGCCTCTGAGGTGTACTGGGCTCTATCCACTGTACTGTACTGTAGGTCCTCTGGTACAGCACTATCCACCCAGCTCTTTTGTTCCTGGCAGCCCTAGGCATCTAGAACGTGCCAGGTCTAATCAGCACTCTGACTAAGGTAAAACAGAAAACAGAATCTTGGGCAGGCTCTTGAAAACCTAGAATGCTAGAATCATGTTCCAACTTTTCCCCTCCCTGGGGAAAAGCAGGGAGTTGGGAATTTTCTCCTGTTTGTTCTGAGTTGGGGGAGGGAATTGGGGAGTTAGTTTATGCTAGTTTCATCATGGCATTTGTTCTCAGTGCCCCTCTATCCTGTCAGACAAGACAGAAACTAGTCACTTGGGTAGCCCCCTGAAAAATATGAATGTTAGATATATGTTCCAGTCTTCTTTTACCTTCCCCAGGGAGATGTCAGGAATTGGGAGTTTCCTCCCAATCACATTGTGCTGTGCCAGGGGGAAGAGCTCTGAAGAGCAAGTGTCACTAGCTCTTCTATTGGCTTTGTGCTCACATAGGGTACAGGAGCCTTTTAACTGGTTTCTGGATTTCTCACACACACAAAAATGGTCCATATACTGTTGTTGAATTGCTGTCTCCATGGGAGAAGGAGGGGCTGGGGCTCCCTATTCTGCTATCTTGCTGAAAGCACCCCAAATCATATGCCTTTATGGCTTTTTCTGTAAGCAACCTACTTACTCACACTCACTTTTCATTGGCCAAAAGAAGCTACATGGCCACCTCCAAGTAAGGCAGGGCATGGATATTCCTCCCACAGATACAAAGTTCCTGCCTGGGATCTTAAGGAGCTTCTGGGAAGCTTCTGTTAACACTCCAAGTTGATGTTCTCAATATACTCACTGGACGCTGTTCAGATTTATGTGTACCCTCAGGCTGCTTCTAAATAATCTTCAGAGAACAATGGCCCCTACTTCTCTTTGGCTTTTGTGAACTAAAATAAAGTCCCTTACTAACTGAATGGACCCCCTCTTGGCCAAGGGGACCCCAAAGAAAACTCAAAACTGAGTTCCCAGCCATGATGGGATGGGAGGTCAGACATGCCTCATTATACCTTGGCTAATGGCCATCAGACCTTTTCCCTAAGAGCTAAACAGAAACCAGTCTTGTGATCCACACCATCAACCATGGAGTGGTTTTATCTACCACAGTCTATGTAGTATATGCAGAGAGGGTTTTTGTGTCCTTGCTTCATCTTTTGACATAAGGTGGCTGTCATTTTCTGAACATGGACCCCATAAAAGCACACAAAGCTCAACTGCGCGTGCACATTTCTCCTTTCATAAATGTTCATGACTCCTGTAGCTTGTTAAATATGTATTTTTTGTCCATCATGCTCAGTATAAATTCCTGTTCCCATTGTCCCTGCCTTAAAGCATGTCTTCTGGTTTCTGGCCAAGGCTCTGCTTCTCAGCTTGTTGGAATGGCCACCCACAGGCTGCAACTTTTTATGAGAAATAAAATCTCTCTTTTCCAAATTTATGAACCTCATCATTTTCTTCATTAACACTTTCTAAATGAGCACTTTCATTGGCAAACTTAATTTGGAACCATACCAGGAAATGCAGTTCCTAGCTCTTTTTTTAGCAATTCACGGAGACCCCAGAGGAGGTGGCAGTGATGTACATTCCTCACCTGGACTACTCAATAGCCAAATAGAACTTCCTGATATTTTACCTCTCCTCTAACCTCAGAATGCTGCTTGGCGGTGCTCTTACCCAGCTTATAAGCCTCCTTGACACTTCTGGTACCAGTAAGTGTCCAGGCTACTGCTGCTTTCTGGGCCTAGAACATTCCTCCATCTTCACTCTACCCCTTACCTTTTCCTTCTTTTGGCTACTTCCTCCTTACTCTCTGTATCTTAGCTCAGGCATTACCTTCCCAAGCATTCTAGTACCTGACATACTGGAAGCATACAAGGGACAGTCTGTTACTCTACTTTCTCAGTTCCAAGATGCTACAGGCTCTTGGGACAATTGTTATAGTAACAGCCTGGGTATGGACAAATTATTAAATGGCTACATCAGTTTTAAGAATACATCCAGATTTCATATAGAAATATTAAAGTTAAAAACAAAAGGAATAACATTTTGGTTCATTAGTTTAGTTTCTTCTTCCTTCTCTAAACTCTACCTTACTTTCTTCATTCTCCCTAAGGCAGAGCTATTACAATGTTCAACTCTAATCACACAGTTTTAGAAAAATGACTTAAAACATTTGTCTAGGTGGATGTTCAGATTCACTAAAGAACTCTAAATGACTTAAAAATATTAACAGCTGAGAAAATTTAAGACATTCTTAGTTCACAGAGTAGGAGCCTAGATAGCTCTGGTTTCATCTGATACAGTCAGTTCTTATGAGGCGAACAGTCAAATAACCTACCACATATGACAGAGATGCCACCATTATGCCCAGTTCTTTTTTTTTTTTTTTTTTTGAGACAGAGTCTTGCTTTGGTGCCCGGGCTAGAGTGAGTGCCGTGGCGTCAGCCTAGCTCACAGCAACCTCAAACTCCTGGGCTCAAGCAATCCTGCTGTCTCAGCCTCCCAAGTAGCTGGGACTACAGGCATGTGCCACCATGCCTGGCTAATTTTTTCTATATATATTAGTTGGCCAATTAATTTCTTTCTATTTATAGTAGAGACGGGGTCTCTCTTGCTCAAGCTGGTTTAGAACTCCTGACCTCGAGCGCTCCGCCTGCCTCGGCCTCCCAGAGTGCTAGTATTATAGGCGTGAACCACCACACCCGACCATAATCCATTTTCATTAAAACACAGATTGAGCCTCTTTTTCGTGCTGTTCATACCAGGAAACACAAGCAGCATTCTAGGTCCTCACTGAGAATAAACCATTCAATAAACACTTCCCAACCTTAACAAGAACTCTTTGCATATGCCAATTTTTCTCCAACCCAGGGTGCAATGATTGTACCTATGGGCCAGAAGATTAGGAGAAGCCAAGAAACACAGATAAAAATTTGAGCTGCAGATTTTTCCATTAGTAAAACTAATGGACTGTCTTATTTCTCAGTAAGAAATGCCCCCAAAATCTGGAAGATACAGCTTTGTTACAAAATTTCCATCATCTGATGAAAGCGCTGAGGCAGTCTTCACAAGGGGGAATGAGGTGACAAGTAACAGCTTCTGACTCTGAGAACTAACCTGACAAGCTCATCTGCGTAGGCTGCAGCAACTTCTTCCTCGGCTTTTCGCTCATAGTATTTACACAGGATAGTCTGGGGAAGCACTTTCTCCAGTTCACTGGTGGGGAATGAACATGTGCAACTGCCTTCCATGCAGCTAAGCTCTGACTAGAATGATAAAGCAAGCAGGCAAAGAAAAAAGAAAAGAAAATTCAACCAAATTTATAGAAAAACAAAAAGGCTCAGTAGTTAAATACATCTTTCAATGGGAGGCAAATAAATAGTGACTAAAAACACAGATTTTGAGATGGCAGAGTAAATATCTCTCTGCTTCCTCTTCTCCAAGAAATCACACTTAAATCAAGGAAACCATGAAACAAAAATCACAAAGTCCATCTTTGATACCACTAGAGGACCTCTATAAGCCTAAATCACAATTCATGAAGACGGAAAGTGGATGGAGGAAGGGAAAACGGCTTAGCAGACTAGAGGAAGAAGGCCAGTGTCTGAAAAGGAGATGCTGATGTGAAGCAAGTTGCTTTGGCTACAAATCTTGGAAAATTGGACACCTCTGGAAGGTAGAGCTGTGTGTTGGGGAGGGGGCAGGGACAGACAGGAAAAAACTGAAAATAGTTTTTCACCCTCTAGTTCCTACAGACTCTGAGTGGAAGGAGTAAGGTCTTGTGAATAGCTGGACCAGAAGGTTCTGGCCGGGAACGAGTCATAGAGAAAGGCAGAGCTGAGGTGTGGCCTGAAGGAAATGTAGTCTGCACAATGAAGAGGGAATTCTCCAGCTCCTTCCTCCCACTCAGCTCCAGAATGTTGGAAGATGGGCTTATACCTGCTAGGCAAGAGGAACACTGATTTGCCCCAGGAAAAAGACCTAAGATAATATCATTTGGGGTTCATAATACAAAAACTAACTGGCTATCCAGGCATCGAGAGTCAAACTCACCAGTCTAAAAGCCCCACTACTCAAACAGCTTCTAAATGGCTTTTTTTTTTTGAGATAGAGTCTCACTCTGTTGCCTGGCTAGAGTGCCATGGCATCAGCCTAGCTCAGGCAACCTCAAACTCCAGGGTTCAAGCGATCATACTGCCTCAGCCTCCCAAGTAGCTGGGACTACAGGCTGACCATCATGCCTGGCTAATTTTTTTTCCTATATATTTTTAGTTGACCAATTAATTTCTTTCTATTTTTAGTAGAGATGGGGTCTCACTCTTGCTCAGGCTGGTTTCGAACTCCTGACCTCAAGCGATCTGCCCACCTCGGCATCCCAGAGTGCTAGGATTAGAGGTGTGAGCCACCGCGCCCAGCCAACAAAACTTTTTTATTTTAAAATAACGTTAGACTTTTTAAAAGTAGCAAAAATAGTAGAATTTCTGTATCTTCCTCACCTAGCTTCCCCTCATGTTAACATCTTATGTTACCAGAGTATTCAACCAAACCAGATAATTAACATTGATGCAATACTATTAACTGAACGACAGCCTTTATTTGGATTTCACCAGGTTTTCCACTAATGTCCTTTTTCTGATCCAGGATCCCATATGGTATCTATTCATAGTTGTCACATCTCCTTAGTTTCTTCTAACTTGTGAGTATCTCAGTGCTTCTTTTTACAACCTTGATACTTTTAAAAAGTAATGGTCAGTAATTTTGTATAATGTTTCTTAATTTGGATTTTTCTAATGATTAGATTGAAATAAGGCATTTTTGGCAGGTTCTTAATTCACCACCAGGGAGTATGTGATGTTGATGTGTCTTTTGACTGGTGATATTAAAAAGGCCATGTTCTTAATCACCACATTAGTTTTCTATTTGTGCTGGAACAAAATACTACAAACTTACTGGTATGACACAATAAAAAATTCCTCTTCATGTTCTGTCATGCTGATGTCAAGAGAAACTGGCTCTTGACAGAGAAATATGATCTTGTGTAAAATAATTATTTGAATATATACATATTTTAATCCAACTATAAAATCCACTTAAAAATTTGTAAAACAAATACTCATGTACTCTCATACATTCAAATAGGCTGCAAGATTGTCTCTTTTTGAGTTCAGCCTTCATTTTGGTTATGAACAGGAAGATGAGTAATGAAATTGGTGCTCTTGGGGAGCTAGGCAAAGGGGCATAGAAGAATTCTATCATTTTCTGAAAAGAAATCTCATGTGGCTAGAACCAACAAAATCAGGTTATGCACACATTATCATATCAGCAGAATGCCACTTTATGAGGCATTTCCACTTGTCTATCAACACCTCCTCAGACTCCGAATGTTTCCTATGTGTGGACATATTCCATAGTTCTTACCTTTCCAGATCCAAAGACTGCCTCTTGGGCATATCTGATGAGACATTCTTTGCAGAACAAGTGGGCATCTGCACACTGTGTCAGCTCCTCGAATGGAAATTCCCCATAGCAGCAGCGGCATTCAATCAACTGACCATCCTGCAGGCCATCAGAGACAAACATGAAATGTCCTAGGCTCAAGCAGAGGAGGAGTCTTGTCTCATATCCTCATATCCAGACCCTCCTCTCCCCACACCACACATATATTCTGAGGTAAAAAGCAAACTCCTAGGGGCCATAAAATGGTGACAAGCTGTTTTCTGCTATATAAATGTAGCTCAAGATGCTAGTACAAACAATATTAATCTAAAGCTAAAGACAGTGAGCTTTTGTGTGTTGTTGTTGCTGTTTTTGTTTTGAGACAGAGTCTTGCTCTGTCACAAAGGTTGGAGTGCAGTGGCATGATCATAGCTCACTGCAGCCTTGAACTCCTAGGCTCACGCGATCTTCCTGCCTCAGTCTCCTGAATAGCTGAGACCACAGGCATGACACCATGCCCAGAAAATTAAAAAGAAAAAAAAAATTTTTTTTTTTTTTTGTAGAAACAGCGTCTTGATAAGTTACACAGGCCGGTTTTGAACTCTTGGCCTCAAGTACTCCTGCCTTGACCTCCCAAAGTGCTGGGCTTACAGTTGTGAGCTACTCTACCTGGCCTTTTAAAAATCCTTTAGAGTAATTACTTATATAAAGTTATCATATTCATCAACTCCATGGCACGAAAGGAACTATAACATCTGTAATCAGAGGCTACCCTGATTATAAAAGGCAGTGGTAACTGGTATGAGAGATGTTATCCAAAAAGCTTTTGAGAGTTGGAGTTTATTCTTTTTGTCTTAAGAGAGGAGTGTGAGGGAGTTGTATCCCAGCCTAAGCTTTATCTTAAGGCATCATTGAAGCTAACTAAATCAGCAACTTCCAGTAAGGTAGCAGGACATTTACTCCTTTTATTAAGTGCAGTGATTGATCCAATCATTAACCATTCTTACCCACGTTAGAAAAGGTCTATGTAAACATGCAAATCTCATACAAAATCCCACCTCGCCCTCAGGTGAGATATCTGTCTTCTGTTTAACTCCAAAGTGACATTTATGTTCTAATTTTTCCTCTAAGAGAGCCTACTTGATGGATTACAGGTAATGTTTTTTAACAGGTACATCTATTATTAGCTTCCCTTCAATTCTGATTCAGTCTGGTATTAAGAGTGACTACACTACCATGTTTCCCCGAAAATAAGACCTACCCATAAAATAAGCCCTAGCAGGATTTCTAAGCATTTGTGCAATATAAGCCCCACCCTGAAAATAAGACCTAGTGATGGGCGTGGCTATGCAGTGTAACTGTACAACCCATGCATTTCATTGCAGAGCAGTAAAGACGACGAGCAGCCCTTCTCATCTGCCCCATGAGAGCTCTATTGCTTGACATGAGAGACTGGGGCCAATGGTTCTAAAGGAAATAGAGTTGCAAGAAATTCAGGATAGAATTCAGGGTTTGGAGAGTTATGATGATGTTCCAGAAGATGACTTAACTCTATTTGAATAAATGTAGATTGTTGTAGCGTACTTAAAAAAAAATAATAATAACACATCCCCTAAAAATAAGCCCTAGGGTATCTTCTTGAGGAAAAATAAATATAAGACCCTGTCTTATTTTCAGGGAAACACGGTAGTTCATGTATCTGACTGTAACTTGACTGAACCTCAAAATCTGTAGGTTGACAGGTTATACAAAAATAAATTTGCCATCAAAATGCTGAGGAAATGTGCTATGAGAAAACAGTCCATGAAAATAAGCAGAATAAAGAAATAAGGTGGAATTTCAAACTACCTTTTGATACTGTTCTTCATTCATCTGCAAGGCAAGTAAAAAGTCTTCATGCTGAGAAACCAGAAAAGCATACATTCAGATACAAATTTAGTAAAGAGGACACTAACCATTTAGTATTTATTTCTGTAAACATAACTATTAATAGTTACCTCTTCAGTTACATAGGTTAGTTTAAAAAATTACCTGTGCATAAATTCACAATGGATCACAGAGCTAAATATAAAAAAGGAAACCATTCAAGTACTAGAAAATATGGAAAAATTTGTCTTAAATCTGACTCAGAATGTAGAATGAGTAAGGGAAAAGAATGACACATCAAATACTTTTGAACAGCGAAGAATAGTATAAGCAAACAAAAGATCAAATGAGTAAAAATCAAGTTTAGCAACAGACTCCACTATTGAGGCTGTGAGACGACAGGCAGTCTTGTACATCCTTGGTGAGAACATGAAGCAGTACAACCACAATGGAGGTGAACTTGGGAGAGTTAATTAATGCCTCTTATAGGAGTCTAGCCCAAAGATGCCCTGGGGCAGAAGTATGAAATGATATGTATAAAAACTTATTTATCATGGCACCATTGATAACAGAAAAAAACTTGGATACAACCCTGAATGTCCATTAATAAGCTCTGTCAGTAAATAAACTCTGGTATTGCATCCAATGGTGTACTAGCCAGTTTCAAAAAGGAAAGAGGAAAATTTCTATGGATTGCTGTGGAGGTACTGCTAGGATGCACTGTTAGTGAAAAAAGCAAGTGCAGAAGATTATGCTACTTTTTGGGTAAGAAGGAGGGATAAATAAAAATACATACACATATTTGCTTTTGCATAAAATTAGGAAAGATAAACCAAATATTAGTAAAAATAGTTATATATAGGAAGGGACAGGACAGAAGTTAGACTCTACTAAACATTCCTTATTTCATAGTTTTGACCTGGGAACTAAAAATATTTTATATAATTAAATAAAAACAAACAAAAACCAACTCCATAGAAGTTAAAAATAAACAGAAACAAATGAAAATTGTTTATCAAATTAATGGCATAACTAGACTTCAAGTGACTTAACAATAAAGCTTTTTTTTTTTTTTTAGGGTCTCACTCTGTCACCCTGGCTAGAAAGTAGGCATGATCATAGCTCACTGCAACCTCGAACTCCTGGGCTCAAGTGTTCTTCCTGCCTCAGCCTCCTGAATTGCTGGGACTATAGGTATGTGCCAACCAAAATGTAAATATTTTGATTTTATATTTTTAAGCTGATATAATCTGACAAGAATTATGTTAAGACCCAGGATTTTTAGCATAAGAAATACAAACATAAAATGAAAAATGTTAAGTAAAAAACCTTTAGGCTGGGCGAGGTGTCTCATGCCTGTAATCCTAGCACTCTGGGAGGCCAAGGCGCCCGGATTGCTCTAGGTCAGAAGTTTGAAACCAGCCTGAGCAAGAGTGAGACCCCGTCTCTACTATAAATAGAAAGAAATAAATCGGTCAACTTATATAGAAAAAATCAGCCGGGCGCGGTGGCGCATGCCTATAGTCTCAGCTACTCGGGAGGCTGAGGCAGTAGGATCACTTGAGCCCAGGAGTTTGAGGTTGCTAGGAGCTAGGCTGACAACACAGCACTCAATCTAGCCTGGGTAACAAAGCAAGCCTGTCTCAAAAAAACAAAAAAAAAACCCCTTTAAACCAAGTTTGAAACAGTTATCTCAGCATGAATTTCCACTAAAGAAAATAAAGCACCTTGGAGAAACTGTTGATTCCAGGTGTGGGTCAGAGACAGCAGATGTTAAAACTGGGCCACTCTGCTGTGCCAGAAAGCAGTGTCAAAGACCACCGAGGACTAATTCGAAGGGGCTGCCATTGGCCAGAGATAGGACAATGTGGACATCAAGAAGAATAATACAATTAACTAAAATACCTACCAATGCTTTAAGTACTTTTATGAGATCAATAGTGATATAAATGAATTAAATTCTGTGATGGGTGGATCAAGAAAACAACTTTTCTAAAATTCTAGTTTCTGCTTGAGATCTACAATTTTTCTTTTCTTAGCTCCCCCTGGAGAGATCTAAAATTTTATCACTGGTCACAAATAATGACTTTGTTCATTTTTGAGAAAATGTCTGCCAAATACCTAATTTTGAATAATCATAGTTTTTGACAGTCCTTTTTTAAGTAAAAATGGTGTTCTGTGAAAAAAAAGTGGCTAATTCAGTTGCTTGGGACTCACTCACACAAGTACTTTTCCTTGATTCAAGCTTCACATCACTTTGTATGCAACACAATCACTTCATGCACAGTTCCCATTTTGTCACACAGAATACTGAAAAGATGTTTTCAAGGCTCAAAACTGGCTAAAATGATTTTTACTGCTTTATCAAAGACATTTTCTGTGAAACTGGCATTTCTTAAAAATTTGAGTGGCATGGTAGTGAAGAAAATAATGATTATAGTTTTGTACCATTGGCCCAATTCATGCTAAGGTACCATTGCTTTTGTTCTATTGGTACAAATTCAGCATAGTGAAAAAAAGCAAATACAACTGACTCTTGACCAATGTAGGTTTGAATTGCACGGGTCTACTTACACTCAGATTTTCTTCTACCTCTGCCACCCAAGAAAGCCAGCTCAACCCCTTCTTCTCCTCCTCCACCTACTCAACATGAAGACGATGAGGATAAAGACCTTTAGGATGATCCACTTCCACTTAATGAATAGTAAACACATTTTCTCTTCCTTATGATTTTCTTAACATTTTCTTTTCCCTAGCTTACTTTATTCTAAAAATACCATATATAATACATATAAAATATGTGTTAATCCAGCGGTCCTCAACCTTTTTGGCACCAGAGACCAGTTTCATGGAAGACAAATTTTTCCACGGAAGGGTCAGATGGAGCTCAGGCAGTGATGCAAGGGATCAGGAGTGGCTATAAATACAGATGAAGCTTCACTTGCTTGCCTGGTGCTCACCTCCTACTGTGTGGCCCAATTCCTAAGTTTCATGAAGACAATTCTTCCATGTACGGGGGTGGGGGGGATGGGGTGGAGCTCTTCAGCCTGGTTCCTAATAGGCCACTGTGACCTGGGGTTTGGGGACCACAGTGTTAATCAACTGCGTTATCTGTAAGGCTTCTAGGAACAACAGACTATTAATAGCTAAGTTTTGGGGGAGTCAAAAGTTTTACTTGGATTTTCAACTGTATGGGGGTAGCACTCCTAACCTTCATGTTACTCAAGGGCTGACTATAATGTCTTAGCATTTTAAGAGATATGATCTCACAGACTCCTCCTCCCCAAAGAGTCTTGTAGAACCCAGGTATCTGTGGGCCACACTTTAAGAGTTGCTAATTTGTATTAATCCCTAACAGCAAACCAGAATCCCAGAAACACATTCCAAGACCACAGCACATCTTCCTACCTCTGCCATCTCTTTGATTTTCTGCTCATAGAACTCCTGCTCTTGTTGCACAGCTGGAAGGAGGGCACGTCGGTCATAGGACCTACAATGTCGCCGCTTATTTTCCAGAAAGAACATCCTCTTTTCTATTTTTATGTCACCTAGAAGATATATGACAATGCAAAATCATGCAGACAATTGTTTGCTAGGAATCGAGGCCAGCCATTTCAAGTCTTCTGTGGCTTTTCCCCCCACCTATTCGCTGGCAGTTTGTTCTTTATGACTTCTGTAATGTATTCTATCATTTGGGACGACCGGGTTCTGGAATCTACCATGCACCCTCTTGACTCCCCGCCAAGTTATGTTCCAATTGCAGAGCCTCTCGGTCAGTGTTGCACTGTGTGAATATACCACTTTTTTTTTTCTTTTTTTTTGAGACAGAGTCTCGCTTTGTTGCCTAGGCTAGAGCGAGTGCCGTGGCATCAGCCTAGCTCACAGCAACCTCAAACTCCTGGGCTCAAGCAATCCTACTACCTCAGCCTCCCGAGTAGCTGGGACTATAGGCATGCGCCACCATGCCTGGATAATTTTTTCTATATATATTAGTTGGCCAATTAATTTCTTTCTATTTATAGTAGAGACGGGGTCTTGCTCTTGCTCAGGCTGGTTTCGAACTCCTGACCTCGAGCAATCCGCCCGCCTCTGCCTCCCAGAGTGCTAGGATTACAGGCATGAGCCACTGTGCCCGGCCTATACCACAATTATTTACCCATTTTACTACCTAAGGACTTTTGAGTTTACTGTTTGGGGTTATTACGAATAAGGCTACTTATAGCTGTTTATGTATCTGTCTGCAATTCAGGTGGGAATTGCTGGATCATGAGATATGCTTACTGTTAGCTTAGAAAATAATGTTAGTTTTCCAAAGTAGTTGTACCAATTTATACCCTCCTTCCACCAGCAATGTATGTGAGCTCCACTTACTCCACATCCTTACCAACACCCAGTAGCATGAGCTTTTAATTTTAGCCATTCTGGTAAGTGAAAATATGCTGTATGAATGTTTTTTAAACTTTTTATCTTGAAAAATCTTCAAATATACAAAAAGCTAAAAGAGTAGTATCTAGAATCACAATGAATAACGTTAGAATAAAAAAATGGCAGAACAAATATGCAATTGGTCTGTTTAGATTTGTATTTCTTTTACTAATTTGGTAATATGTTTTTAGGAAAACCATTCTATGCAGATTTTTCAATTACTCAAGTCTGTTCTTGGTAATCTCTTGATTTTAACAATATTTACTATATCTGGTTACTGATACATTTTATTTTTATTCTCCTTTTCTCTTGTTCATTCTTGCTAGATTTTTAAAAATTTTTCTTTTAGAAATGGGGTCTCATTATATCACCCAGGATGGAGTGCAGTAGCATGATCATTGCTTACTGCAACCTCAATCTTCTGGGCTCAAGTGATCTTCCTGCAGCAGCCTCTAGAGTTCTTGGGACTACAGGTGCATGTCACCATGCCTGGCTAATTTTTTTTTTTTTTTTTGTAGAGATAAGGGTCTCACTACATTGCTCAGGCTGGTCTTGAACTCCTGGCCTCAAGAGATTCTTCTGCCTCAGCCTCCCAAAGAGCCAGGATCGAAGGTTTTTTAAAATTTAAAATTTTTATTCAGAAAACCAGTTTTTGATATTATGAGAGTCATAAAGCACAGTGTTAAAAGTGTAGGCTTGGAAACTAGATTGCCGGCCAGGCGTGGTGGCTCATGCCTGTAATCCTAGCACTCTGGGAGGCGGAGGCGGGCGGACTGCTCGAGGTCAGGAGTTCAAAACCAACCTGAGCAAGAGCAAGACCCCGTCTCTACTATAAATAGAAAGAAATTAATTGGCCAACTAATATATATAGAAAAAATTATCCAGGCATGGTGGCACATGCCTGTAGTCCCAGCTACTCGGGAGGCTGAAGTAGTAGGATCGCTTGAGCCCAGGAGTTTGAGGTTGCTGTGAGCTAGGCTAATGCCACGGCACTCACTCTAGCCTGGGCAACAAAGCGAGACTGTCTCAAAAAAAAAAAAAAAGAAAAAAAGAAAAAAAAGAAAAAAAGAAACTAGATTGCCAAGGTTGGAATCCCAGCTCAGCTACTCGCTAGCTGTGTAACATTCAGCAAGTTATTTAACTTCCCTGTGCTTCAGTTTCTTATCTGTAAAATGATAATAATGGCACATATATCTATCTCATAAGGCTACTTGAAGTATAAATGAATTAATCCATGTAAAGCACAAATGCCTGGTATATACCAAGTGCTCAATAAATGTTAATTACTATCATTATCATTTCCACTTAACTTTCAAAAAATCATTTTTGCCCTTTATTATTTCGTCCTTTGTCTTTACTCAGTTCTTTTTATGGCTTATCAAGTTAAAGTATTAACATTTATTTTTACTACTTTATTTTAAAAATAAATGCAATAGGGTGCAATGGTATGCACCTATAATCCTAGCTACTCAAGAGGCTGAGGCAGGAGGATCACTTGAGCCCAGGAGTTCAAGTCTAGCCTGGGCAACACAGTGACACCCTTGTCTCTAAAAAAAAAAAAAAAAAAAAAATTAAGTGCAATCAAGTCTAAAAATTTCCCTGTAACTTCTTTTCCTGCATCCTATGAGTTGTGATATATAGTATTTTTTTAATTAAACTTTTAAGCAGGAACTAAAAGTGACAGTCAAGATACAGAACACTTCCATCACAAGGATTACTCCTGTTGCCTTCAGAGCCACACCTCCCTCCCTCCCTCCCACTGGCACCCTTTACTCAACCCTGACAAATGCTGATCTGTCTTCCATCTCTACCATCTCATAAATATTTTAAGAATGTTAAATAAATCACACAGTATGTAAACATTTGGGATTAGCTTTCTTACTCAGCATAATTTTTTGGAGATTTATCCAGGCTGTTGCATGTATCATTGTTTGTTTTTATTGCTGAATAGTATTCCATGGTATAATGTACCACAATTTAACCAGTCATCAGTTGAAGGGTGTGTGGGTTGCTTCTAGTTTTTGGCTATTTTGAATAAAGATGCTATGAACATGTATATAAGGCTTTTTTAAGCCTTAAGTTTTCATTTCTCTGGGATAAATGCTCAAGAATGCAATCATTGTGTTGAATTACAGTCTCGTGCTTATTTTATTTTATTTTTTTGAGACAGAGTCTCACTTTGTTGCCCAGGCTAGAGTGAGTGCCGTGGCGTCAGCAACCTCAGACTCCTGAGCTCAAGCAATCCTCCTGCCTCAGCCTCCCAAGGCGCTAGGACTACAGGCATGTGCCACCATGCCCAGCTAATTTTTTCTCTCTCTCTCTATATATTAGTTGGCCAATTAATTTCTTTCTATTTATAGTAGAGAAAGGGTCTCGCTCTTGCTCAGGCTGGTTTTGAACTCCTGACCTTGAGCAATCCGCCTGCCTCAGCCTCCCAGAGTGCTAGGATTGATTACAGGCATGAGCCACTGCTCCCGGCCTTGTGCTTAGTTTTTAAGAAACCACCAAACTGTTTTCCAGAGCTGCTACACCATCTTACACTGCCACCAGCAATGTATGAGTTATCCAGTTAACTGCGTCCTATCCAGCACTTAGTGTTGTCAATACTTCTTATGTTAGCCATTCTGAAAGGTATGTAGTGATATTTGTGGTTTTTATCTTCATTTAACAAATGGCTAATAATGTTGAACATCTGTTATGTATTTATTTGCCATTTCTATATTCTCTTTGGTGAAATGTCTTACATCTTTTGCCCATTTTCTATTTGGATTGTTTGTTTTTCTACTGTCTGCTGAGTTTGGAAAGCTTTTTGTTTTCTAGATAATAGTCATTTGTCAAAGATGCGGGTTGCAAATATTTTCTTCCAGTCTACAGCTTATCCTCTTAATGTTTTTTGAAGACCAAAACTTATGAATTTCAATGGTGTTAAGTCTAAGAACTCTTTGCCTACAGTCTAGATCATGAAGATGTCTATGTTTTTTCTGAAAGTTGTACAGTTTTATCTTTTAATTTTTGCATAAGGTATGTATGGATACCTAATTGCTCCAGAACCACTGTTAAAAAGGCTATCTTTCCTGCCAGGAATTGCTTTTGCACCTTCGTAAAAAATCAGCTGGGGACTCAAATGTCCATCAACTGATGAATGGATAAATAAAATGCACTATACCCACAAAATGACTATTATTTGGCAATAAAAAGGAATAAAGTACTGATACACACTACAAAGATAAACCTTGAAATTATTGTGGTAAGTGAAAGAAGCCAGTTGCAAAAGATCATGTATGGTATGATTTTGTTGAAGATTTTTGCTCCTCGATTTATGAGGGATATTGGTCTGCAGTTTTTGGGGTACTATCTTGTGTAGTTTTGTTATATTGGCTTCATAATGGTAATACCACCAGCTTCATACAATGAAATGTTTCCTACTCTTCTATTTTCTGTAAGAGATTGTGTAGAATAGGTGATATGTTGTATTTTTTTCACCAATTAAGAGTAGATAGGCTGTATTTTTATTGATGTTCATTTTACATCCAAATTCTAACCAGACTCTTCCCAAGAAGACTGTGCAATAGTCAGCAGACAATATTATAAAAAGGACAGAGGAGAGAGAGCCACACAACATATTGCCCAAAGAGCAGGGCTTGGATAGAAAACAAGTGAAAAAGTCAACGATGGGATTCTTGGAACAGATGAGGGATTCTTTGTCTATGTGCTTATGGAAAACTGTTAAGAAAGGCTGAGTATGAGTCATAAACATTAAACTACTAACATAAATCAAGTATATTTTCTATTTTATACTTCCAAGGTCCTTAAAGATCACCTAATAAGTACTATTTAAGAATCAGTATCTAAATTAAAGGGCTGTACCTAAAATAATGGGCAGAAATGAGTAAGCTGATGTTAATAGGAAAAAAAAATGTGAGATGCATCAAGACTGAGAACGAGAGAGAGGTATATGATTTAACAGAAACATAGGTGTAAAGACCAAGGCTTTTTAGTAGTGGCACAATGGTCATAATTCATTGCAACCTTGAATACCTTGGCTGGAGCAATTCTCCCACCTGGGCCTCCCAAAGTGCTGGGATTACAGGAGTGAGCCACTGCATTTGGATTAAGATCAGGGCTTAACGTGTGCCAGTAGCAGAACATGTTTTGATTTTTAAAAGCTTAAGCATTCTTAGGCTGTGTGGATGGAAGCATAGAATCTGAATCCCACTGTTGTCTCTATGGAGCAGACCTCAGGTGGAATATGACATACAGACTCGCACACCGAGACTTTCAAAGAGACCCTGACAAATGAGCAAAGGGCCTGTGCAGAGAAGGTCAGTCAGGCTGACGAAGGGGCAATAGCCAGATTTTAGGAAGGTACATTTTGGCTTGATATAAAGGAAGAACTTTCTAAAAGATAGAGCTGACCAGCAAGGGAGTAGACCATCTTACAAAGCAGTACTTTCCTTTCTTCACTACTAGAAGTCAGAAACAAAGACTGTATGGCTGTGTACGAGCCTGCCTACTGTACACTGTGGATAAATCCAGCTGAGTGAAAAACCACCTACATATTGTCCCTGCTTCATTCTGCCACAGACCAGTGAGAATGTCACATCAGAGGACATGGTTAAGGGACCTCAGGAGTCACAGCCACGAACATCTTCTTCTAGATCCTCAAGAGTTCAGAAATTCAGATACTTTCCAACTCTACAGTTACCTCAGGGAGTTTCCATTTAGTAATACCTGAAACCAAGTTTGGCAATTACATACACATGTGACAGAAAGAAAAAAGGGATTCCCTGTTTATGACATGATCTATAGAAAAAGTTGAAGTAAACTCTTTTATTGGACACCAAAAACTCAGATGAAATTTGTTATAAAACCTGTCAAATTTACTTTTTGGGGGATCAGACTTGAGGTAACCTCTCTGAAAGGGCTTTCAGTAGTTATTCCATCGGTTAAGAATAACAAGACTGTAGAGAAACACGTGACTACTGGCCAATCTCTTCAGACCACAAGAGACCTTCTGTAGTAAGCCACCAATCACTACTCTAGGTAGTTTTTACTAATGATACAGCCAATTCTCACCAAGCCTTCAGGACCAGTTTTTCCCCAAGCTTACCAGTGTCCTCAAACACTTTCCCACACATGAATTCTCTAACATTGCACAAAATTTTCCTGTTGTAGCGTATCCAAAGCAGGAAAAAGGAAGCTGACAACTGCAGCCACTTTCTACAGATTTTGATGTGCTGTCAAGAGAGTACCTGTCAGTTCCTCCCTGAGCTGGTGTGGCCAGGCACTTAGTAAGCAGCCTGTAATCTGACTTCCCTCACTGACTGCGCAGGAAGGGAAAGGAAGGGCTGGCATTGCAGTTTTCCACACTGTCAGCACACACACAATTTGTCATTACCTTGTTCAAATTTGAAATCGATGTAAGAATATTGATTCATTTCTTTTCTTTTCTTCCTTTTTCCACTGGTTTCTGGTGATAGCTCCTGCCATTTTTTGATGGCATCAGAAAAGGCCTAAAAATTGAGAAAGGGAAAGGTTACCTCTGTAAATGGAAAATCAGAAAATGTGCAACATCGGCAATCCCCAAGTCTTATTCTGACTCAGTCTCAGCTCTCTTCCCTGCTCGGCTTACCAGAAACAGGCAGTGGCAAAATAAATAGGCAGCATTTCACTGTTTTCATTTTCTCTTCTATATATTGCTTTGGTGGTGGAACCAAAATGTTTACTGACAGATTAAAGGGTGACTTAGGAAGATAAAAGCTGTCCAAGCTGTCCTTGTGTAAGTGGAGGCTAAATCACAGGACAAACGGCTGCTAAGTTACACTCTGTAGGCACATCTTCCACGTTGCCTCTCTGGTCAACAATCCCTGTTGACTCCACAAACTTCCTTCCCACACTCCTCTCTGGTGCACCTATATCCCCCCCACCCCACCCCCACAGCACACTGGAGCTCAAAGTTCCTATACTGGGGATAGTATAGTGGGGATCGCTCCTTTTTTTTCAGCTTCTCCCTCTCTTCTATCTTTCTATTTGGCATGTAAATGTGCTAATTTTTGCCATCTTAAAAAAAGGAAATAATTCCTTGATCTCATCCCCCTATAAGCTGCCAGCCCCTCTTTCTTCTTCCCCTTTGTAGCTGTGTGGCTTATCAAAGAAGCTGTCTAAATTCCATACTTATCAATGAGGGGCCGCTCTACCATGTACATGTTAGTTCTCACCACACCTGCCCTCTTGCAGGGGAGGTGTTTAATAATGTGGACTGCTCTCCCACCCAACTTTCTCCCTCCTCCCTGCAATTCTCTACTTGGTCTTCACATGTTGGGAGCCCCCTCTTCCCACCTGATACTCTCTCTAGGTACCTCATCCAGGCTGGTGAAGTGACCTTCCATATACTGATGACTCAAAATCCCATCTCCAGCCCATATTTCCAACCTTTTTAGTCCACTCAACCACAACCACCCAATGAATTACTTTCACCTGAGTGTGTCCCAGGAGCTACTCAGTATAATAGCAAACAATGTTTCCCATATTCAAGTCATGATTCTTTCCCTCCAAACCAGTTTTTTACAGTATTCCTCACCCCCATAAATGAGACTAACATCTTCCACTCCCCCTTTTCACTTAACTCCTACTTGGGTCTGTGATTAAATGTCACTTGCTCAGGGAGGCTCTCCAGGAACTCCTTAGACTACCTCAGGTTGCCAAAGACCCTGCATTTTTCTTTCAAAGTCTTTACTACAGTTGCAATTACATATGTATATTTGTTTGCTTCTCTGTTCTACGTTATTACTCAACTAGACTGGGAGCCTCTGGAGGACAAGGAAGTTACCAAAGCTCAAGGTGTTATCTTTGGCAACTTGCACAGTTTGCATGTAATACTCACGTGGGGAATAATGAATAGTTACAGGGGATATGTATGTGTTACAGGCAAGTTGCCAATAATCACATTCTGAATGTTTATTCTAGATAAACAGCTATATATCCCTGTGGTGAAATAACAAAAGAGAGCATTTGAGCTACCAAAGAGGAAGGATCATCCTTTCACCTTAATTTACCTCCACCCCTTCCTTTTGGATTTTTCTACCATTACCTCATTTAATTCTCACAATAATCCTCTGGGATAGGGATTATTTATTTTACAGTAGAGGAAAGCAAGGCTTAGAGAGGAGAAAGAACTTGCCTCAGGTGTCAAACTTTAGCGAAAGTTAGGATTTGAGTTCAGGCCACTCTTGGAATTAAAGCTTCTCTCTTTGACAATATCATATTGTCCTCATAGATATACTCCGTGAAACCCCATCAAAAGCTGACAAAATTCACCTTGCTACCTTTCCACTTCCCCTACCAACTCCTTCCACGGGTGTAGAAATGTGGCTTTTTTATTTCTACTCCCCTGTTTTCTATTTCTTCTTTCTGAAATTCCCACTACCAGTGGTGTTCCCACAGCGCCCGGCCTGATACTTTTGATTCTAAGCTCATCTTCCCACATGCAGAACAGAGACAAGATCCTCCAACCATCCAGAGGTACCTGCATAATTGATTCTTCCTTTGCTCCCTTTTTCTCTTCAAACTTTTACCTTACCTTATGTAAAACATAGATTTCCAGAAAGTAACCATTTGCCTCACTGCCTTGCTTTCTCCCTCCTTTTTCTTTCCGTATGCCCTCTCTCCTTAAATACTGAGTTTCCAAATCCCTTTTCGGAGAGCACAGATGCTTCTGTGGTTTGTACTTTTCCCAGGAGTGACCTCAAAATTTGGCTTAATAAACCTCCATTGACTTTGTGAGATCTTTGCCTCACTCACTCATTTTGGGTTGCCATGTTTTACTGCTTCTCAAGGTCTAGGCTAGTACTCACCAGGAGTTAAGTGCTCAAAAAGCCAAGGAGGAGGAACCTAGCAACAAGAGATGTTCAAGAGTAACTTTTCTATTGTCTGGCCTGTCTGTCTCCAGCTTGTTCACATTCGCAAGTCAAGCAGCCACTCAAGGTATTAGTTCTGAGATTCAGGATATAGTCTGGTAAGATTTTTAGGACATCTGTGACAAAGGCCAAAGTTCCTTTAAGGGATGACCTGCAAAGACTACAGTGGGTGTCACTGGTGCCTGGTAGGAGGTGGGAGAAATCTAGCAGGCCTGGGGAGTGGAGGCCTTGAGAACTACCACCTTGGAGAATGAAGTTAAAGGCCGGTTTAAAAAGACAGCTCAGGCTGCTAGGATTAGGCCTCATGAAGGCACTTGTGTGGTTCATGCCTGTAATCCTAGCACTCTGGGAGGCCGAGGCGGGCGGATCGCTCAAGGTCAGGAGTTTGAGACCAGCCTGACCAAGAGCAAGACCCAATCTCTACTAAAAATAGAAAGCAATTAATTGGCCAACTAAAAAATATATAGAAAAAATTAGCCGGGCATGGTGGTGCATAGTAGTCCCAGCTACTCGGCAGGCTGAGGCAGGAGGATCACTTGAGCCCAGGAGTTTGAGGTTGCTATGAGCTAGGCTGAAGCCACAGCACTCTAGCCCAGGCAATAGAGGACATAACTTGGAAATCAATCTTGCCATCCTTACCTTTAAGAAGCAAAGAAGTGAGTGACTTGGAAAAAAAAAAAAAAAAAAAGCTGTAGTCACATTTGTAGCAAATTATCAAGAAAACTGGAGAGGAGATACTTTTCATCCCAGAGGAACTATCAGATGTGCCAGATCTAGAATACAGGGGTAAACCAGGAGAAAGGCAAAGGGAATTCCCAAGATAACTGCGAATGCAACTCTCCATGACAGCTACACAGCAAGGGCAGACAATAATGAGGACAGACAGAGAAGGCGGCTGGGGGGAAGGGGTGCGAAATGCGGGATTAATTGGCAGCTCTGACAATAAGCACAACTGTGTCTGAGCTGAGCTGCAGGGTGTGGAAACATTTAGCTGGAGAGTCAAAGAACAAAACCAAAACAAAGCACAGAAAACCAAAGCAAATGAAAATACCGAGGCAACTAACTTTAACACCAAAAAGAAAAGGAAAAAAAAAAAAAAGGAAAGAAAATTCAAGAAAAGAACATTATCATACTACATTACCTGCCCTAGCAGTGCACATTTCCATAGTCATAATAATGAAAACTCTGAAAACAGATTTAATAAAAACTGTCTATTGAAAAGATGAGACTATGGGTGAGTCTGAGTGTGTGTAAGACTCAGGATCCCCATCCACCACAAGGAAAGCTACAAGTACTTTCGAAAGCTGATGAATCAAGCATAAGCATATGTTCACAAATATGGAGGCAAATATAAAAAATAGGTAAAAGAGTTGAAAGTTGCCTTGGGAGAGTAGAGGAAAAGCCTGAAGAAGGAGCCTCTAGCTTGCCATTTAGAAAATTATACATAAGCATTTTAGCACTATTTGATTTTTGAAATGATGGAAATAACTACTCTGATCAAAACAAGTATTCATTTTGAGAAATATTTCCTGCTGTGAGTTTTAAGGCCTTACTTATTCCCTCCAGTTTAGAAGTTATTCACTGAAAACACTTAGTACAGGCTGAGTGGGATGGCTCACGCTTGTAATCCTAGCACTCTGAGGCCAAGGCAGGAGAATCACCTGAGGCCACGAATTCAAGAACAGCCTAAGCAAGATTGACACTTATTCTCTAAAAAAAAATAGAAAAATTAGCCAGGCATGGTGGCACGGGCCTGTAATCACAGCTACTAGGGTGGCTGAGGCAGGAGGATCGCTTGAGTCCAGGAGTTTGAAGCTACAGTGAGCTAGGATGATGCCGCTGCATTCTAGCTGGGGCAACAGAGCGAGAGACTATTATCTCCAACCTCCCCCCAACCCAATAAAAAAACCCCACTTAGCACAGTGGTGTATATCTGTAATCCCACCTACTCAAGAGGCTGAGGTGGGAGATTGCTTGAGGCCAGGAGACCAGCCTGGGCCACACAGTGTGACCCGTCTCAAAACAAACAAACAAAAGCCACTTAGCAAGGAGAGCATTTTTGTCCCTATAGAGCTTTATAATCAGGAAAAAATTAAAAGGCCTAGAAATTCTGCAGCTATACTGGGGACTCCAAGAAGCCTTTCCACGGGATACTCCCATAAAAAGAGCTGAGCTAAAATACTTACAACTGCACACGTGTACGCATACATGACACAATCTCCCTGCACATGGGGCCTCCACACAGCAGACTGGAATAGACCAGAGTAGGCCTATTTGGGTCACAGCCCTCTCCAGCTTGGATTCAGCGCTGCAAACCTAAGGACAGTGAATCACCAGAAGGCTCTTATACTATTACTCTAAGGACTGATGACAGTACAAAAGCTTGAAAATTGTTCTGTAGCACACAGAAAAAAATGTGAAGGGACGGGAACTTGTTTACTGAAACCTGATACGTGCTAGGCATGTGTTATGGACTATATATATGTTGTTATCTGATTACTGTAATAGATATGTAAGACAGCCATTATATACTAATAGAAAACTGAAGCTCAGCATTAAGATACGCAAAGTCACAGACTAACAAGTGGCAGAACTAGAATTAAAATTTAAGACAAATCCCAACCCTCAAAAACCATAAAAACAAATCTGAGTTTGATCAAGACTCCACATGTAACTACCAATTTATAGGAAATACAAGGCACAGAGGGACCAGTTAATGACACTATGGGGGTACAGGCAGTGGAATCTAAATTGTCTAAATCTATAGGATAACCAATTCATTTTCCAGAAAATAAATTACCAGAAAAAATAAAGTGTGGAAAAGGAGAGAGATTACAAATCTCTACAGATCATAAGAGATTTAAGTAACAGTCAACCAACTGCAATAAACAAATTTTACGTGGAAATTGATATGACCAAACAAGCTGTTGAAAGGATTTTTGACCCATGCAGAGAAATGTCAACACTTACTTTGATTATCGAATAATGTTCATTTTGAAGGTATGATAATGGTATTTTGATTATGTTTTTTTTTTTGTTTTTTTTTGAGACAGAGTCTCACTTTGTTGCCTAGGCTAGAGTGAGTGCCGTGGCGTCAGCCTAGCTCACAGCAACCTCAGACTCCTGGGCTCAAGCGATCCTTCTGTCTCAGCCTCCCAAGTAGCTGGGACTACAGGCATGCGCCACCATGCCCGGCTAATTTTTTCTATATATATTAGTTGGCCAATTAGTTTCTTTCTATTTATAGTAGAGACGGGGTCTCGCTCTTGCTCAGGCTGGTTTTGAACTCCCGACCTCGAGCAATCCGCCCGCCTCGGCCTCCCAGAGAGCTAGGATTACAGGCGTGAGCCACCGCGCCCGGCCTGATTATGTTTTTATAAAGCTTATCTTTATCTTTTAAAGATAAACATTGAAATATCTGTGGATAAAAAAATGAAATGTATGCAATTTGCTTAAAAACTGGGAGGGAGGAAAATGGGTAGGGGTAGCGATGAAACAAAATTGAGCATGAGTTGATAATGAAGCTGAGCAATGGGTGATCAGGGGCTTGTTATAACACAATCTTTACTTTTATGTATAGGATGTTTATGATAAAAAGTGAAAAAAAAAAAAAGTCCAGGGAAATGCACCAGTCTCCATAGTGAACAGGACTTCTAAATAATCCTGTTTGGTGGCAGCCTAGAGAATATGTGCTATTGGTGTAATTTTAAAAAGTTCTAAGTGTGTTTTTACTCCCCTGTCCACATGACAGTCATTTTCTAAAGGGCAGAGCCCTCATGTACCATTTGCAGACAGCAAGGAGGGAGAAGTTCTAAATTTTAACTGGGCACATTGTGTTTTAGCTTCTGCCAAACATTATTTCCTGTTAAATACCTCTCTGTAATACAAACAGCCCAAACCCACTCCATTTCAAAATCCATATAAATTTCCAAACTACCCACCAAACAAGCAGATACCATAACAAATATAAAGGACCAGAAAAACGAGGAAAGGAAGGTATACACAAGGAGAACAGAGTAGCTCTTAAGGCAGACATAGTGTCACAAATAATCATGTGATTAAAGCAACAGGAGGAAGCTCAGGAGAGCAAACGGATAAATCCCCATCTTTAAGTTACCTAAGGACTGTCGGGTCTCCAGAAGAACCACAAAACCCTACAACCTCCCAAAGGAGTGGGTTGTGGGATGATGAGCCATGGAGGTGCGTACCAAGTTTCCCCCAAAATAAGACAGGTCTTATATTTATTTTTCCTCAAGAAGACACCCTAGGGCTTATTTTCAGGGGATGCGTTATTTTTTTTAAGTAAGGTACAACAATCTACATTTATTCAAATAGAGTTAAGTCATCTTCTTCTGGAACATCATCATAACTCTCTAAACCCCAAATTCAATCCTGAATTTCCTGCAACTCTATTTCCTTTAGAACTATTGGCCCCAGTTGCTCATGTCGAGCACTAGAGCTCTCATTAAATGAGCAGGGCTGGCTTATTTATCAGCGATCCAGTGAACACTGGGTCCAATCTGCACAGTGGAGCAGAAATGATCTCTCTGGGCTCAGTAGGAGACTGCTTGCTGAAGCTTTTTCCCAATCCCCTGGCATTTGTGTGGGGTGAGAGAGGCCCACAGTGCTGAGTAAAATGGCAGACACAGCTTTCCTTCTTCCCCTTGGGGACACACAACACTTAAAGCGGAGCGTCCCACTCCTCACTTCACTGAGACTTCCTCAGCTTGCAGCACGCACAGGATGGCCAGGTCCTGACAAGGGGAGCTGACCTTGTTGTTGGGGCTGCCCACACCTTTCCAGTCACCTCTGGGATAGTAGCTGTCACAGTGCGGCAGATGAGAAGGGCTGCTCGTTTTTTTTACCGCTCTGTGACAAAATGCATGGGTTGTGCATATATACTGCGTAGCCATGCCCATTACTAGGTCTTAATTTTGGGGTAGGGCTTATATTGCGCAAATGCTTAGAAATCCTGCTAGGGCTTATTTTATGGTTAGGTCTTATTTCCGGGTCAACACAGTACCAGCTGGCACAGCTCCTTCCATGGGTCCCAGGGGGTTCCCATTTCTGGGCAGTAAAGTATAAGAAGGACCAACCCACCCCAGACCAGTAGCTGTATGAATTTTTCTTGGGGCTGCCTATGAACCGCTAAAGCAGCAAAAACGTCAGGGAGAGCCTAAGGATGAAATAGAAATAGCCCGTTTGGATTTGTGGTCATTATTTTTTTGGGAAATATCATTCACTTTTCAATGACAGTACAGGCATTCTCTGTTATACAGCATGCTGAATGAGATTCAGAAGTAAAAAGTACTAACTCTAATCCCTTGAGAATAATTTTTCCTAAAATTAACCTACAATTAGGAGTTTGCTGATAGTTGCCTTCATCTTCTTGGCAATCTACTAGAGGTGGAACCTCAGCATGAGCCACATTCAGCTGGGTTCACCTTCCTTCAGGTAAAACCCAGGGAGTATTTTAACCATTAAAGTAACTTCACATTTGTTTATCCTTTGCGGAAAAAACTTCAGTTTGCTGGGAATCATAAAAACTTCAGCAGGAGAGCACGATTTAATGGCGGCAAGGGAGACCGAGAGGAGTAAGCCAAGGACTCTGCTGGTGTCCACTCTTCCGTCTCTTTGATTGCCACTACTAAATGGACCACTGTGCGGTGTACTCCACAGAATGAAGCGTGTCTTTGCTACTCACCAGAATCAATACCCATCTAACCCTGGGAACAGAGGCCTTTAAGAGGTGTCTTATTTAGGGCCCAGGGGCAAAATACCGGGAGCTCTCAGTAGCTACTTACTCTCTTCTGATGCAAACCACCATTCACTGGTGCTAGTGTGCCCCTGGGCTCTTTAAAGACCTTACCACCTGGCAATGAAAACTGGACCATGTAGGGATGGCTGTGACCTGACCCAAGTGAGAAAGTAAATATGGAAGGAGCAGGATTGGAATATACCTTCCCTACTCTAGTCATCTGCATTGCATAGTAAAATGTATTACCCTCCATGCTTTATGCTCAAACCAGAACTTCGTTGCTTCTCATCTATTATTTTTTTCATTCAGTTCTTCCTGGTCAGCAAATATCTTTGTCTATTTCTCTTCACTCTGACAAATTCCTTAGCTCTTTGCCCTTATAAACCATCCCAATCTCTTCAAGCTGATCTCTTCCTTCTATTATCACGGGAAGGAATAGTCAAGAGGTGTGACCCCGAGAGGAAGACTGAGGGGAGCACCTTTCGGGTGATTGCATAGTGTCCCTTGAGCTCGTGCAGGGCCCACTTGATGTCTTGACTGCTGAGCATCTTGAAGTCAGCCATGAGGAGGTCAGCAGCCTGGATGAAGCAGCGCTGGTCCAGGGGAACCAGCTTGGAATAATCAAAAAAGTCCACCTGCGGCAACTGAAACGAGAGAGAAGTGCGAATCAGAGGTCACACAGTGCATTTCCCATGGGGAAACCATTTTACAACTGACACATTATAAGAAAGAATAATCTTGTCTGTTCTCCTAAGTCTTATAGAGAGGTTATCAGCTTAGCCCTGTGACAGAAATGAAGAAACAGTGGCTCAGGGAAGTAAAACAACCTGTCTGGAACCTACAGACTAGCTTTATAGCCAGAACTGGTAAAGAAGCATAGCTGGGGATTTAAACCAATCTCTTAGTCATCTTCTTTCTGTAAAACATTTAGAAAAAAATATTTTTTTTCCTGCTACAGAATATACAAAAGCGATAGTTAAAAGAACCTGTGGGAGTAGGAAGATTAAGACCTTAACAAAGTTCTGAACTATACGTCCCTTCACCAAATAACATACTAATGCTAATTTGAATCACAAATGAAGACAATAATTAAAGTTCATAAAAACCAAACCATTTACATCTTGACATGAGATTTGGTTAGACAGGTATATGCACTGTACACAAATAGCACATCAAAAGAAAAACTATAAACATATATTAAAATTCAAGGATGATTTGCATGCTGAAGTATTTATAGAGAAGCATATTGATGTTTTTGCAATTTACTTGGAAATGCCTTATAATAAAATAAAATGTAAGAAAGATGTATTGATAGACAAAGGACAGGATGTAGGAGTAGATACAGTAAAATGCTAACTTTTTATTAGTATCAGTGGTGGGTATACAAGTGATCAATGTAAAATATTTCAACTTTTCTGTATTGTTGACAATTTTCATAATAAAATGTTAGAATCTTGGCCAATTCTTATTTCCCTTTAGGAACTTGCTTTGTAGATTAAAGATATGGAGGATTTGTTTAATTCTTTGTGGGAAAGGGAAGATAAGGCTTATGACAACAGATAGGAGTTAAATACAGAATTCAAAGCAGCTCAGTCTAAGAGATCCCACTGAAGTATAGATATATTCTGAAATCCTATTTTCCCCTGCTAATCTTTAACATTGTGTCCTGACTTGCAAATAGAAATCTTTGTGCTGCCCCCCCCCAAAGTGTCCCAACAAAGTACTTTTTTCCCATAAAAATGACCCATAAAGCAGAGAATTCCCAGGTGGAGACTGCAGAACAAGAGCATGACACTTGCCTCGGTCTCGTCCTGGCCGGCCAGCAGGCTGCTACTGGGGTTTGTAATGATTCTATCTTCTCTCTTTGGATAATCTGGATTTTCCAGAAGAAAATTACAAAGTCTGCAAAAACAAATGATGTCACGTTCACACTGCTTCCAAATCCCACATCTGCCTACTGCTTCAAATGTAATGTCTGAAAAATAAAGTCCCTAGGCGTACATTACTACTGGCCTATTAAGGAATTAAGATGTTTGCAGCCAGAAAAACTAAACAAACAAAAACCAATTACATTGAATGTAATTCAATACTATCTCTGTGAAAGATAAAAAGTTTAAAAAGCAATGAACAAACTAATGAATGCAAATTCCTCTGAAGTTTCTATACTAGTTGGGTATAGATGTAAATAAATTCACTGAAATTATTATAGGTAAAACTTTATGGAACTGGAGAATCTGTAAGAAAAGTAGCTATTGTTTGTCAAGAAAACCATGAACAAATAAGTGGGAAAGTGTGTATATTCACATTTACAAATAAAAAAAATTTGCTGAGAGAATAAATAAATGAAATACAATACTTTTCCTAATCCTATAGTAACGCAAATCTCTATGGTAATATAAATCTCTACGAGCCATCTGAGTTATGCTCAGTTTATTTAGCTAACTGTAAGACTGATGAACTGTGTTGTTATATGAACAGACTTACTCTATCAAACTCAATAGCCTTGCCTATTACAATACTTCAGAAGTAAGGATATAGAGAGGAGGCATCACCACCCAGACTTAACAAATGTTAACAATCCAGGCTCTTCACCCTATAACATAATCAAATCAGACAACAACCTTGGGATGACTGCAGAGTATTGAGAACATTATGGCCAGGGCACAGTCAGCTTCTTTGCTCAGTGGGCAATGAGGGCTTCCCCTCTTCTGACCCCTACTTCTTTCCCTTGCTCCTGTAGATTCTTAGGAATCTACACCTGCCTCCACCTGCCCCTGGATACCCCATCCATAATTCTCACTCATTTTCCTTCTTCCTAGTTCTCGCTTGCCCAATGTCAACAGTGCGGCCTATAATAATAGTGAGACAGGTCTAGCAGGAAGAAGACAGAGCAGATACCCAGCTCCGGCTCCTTTTCTCACCCAAGTGCTAGTGTTTGGGGACTGGAAAATGGAAGGGTATGATTATTCTGCCCCTGGGCCCTCAGGCATGGCCCTTTGACAAAGCCCTCTCCCTCATCCTGACATCTCAATACCTTTTTCTTCACTTTCACTTCCAGGAGCCCAGTATGCTTCTTTTTTTTTTTTTATTTCGGCATATTATGGGGATACAGATTTTAAGGTTTCAATAAATGCCCATTTCCCCCCTCCCCCCCCAGTATGCTTCTTATGTCCAAGTTCCTCTCTTCCTTATCACTGCAGCTTGCCCAGTCTAGGGAACACAGGGCCAGAGGCCGGAAAAGGAAACAAAGAAAGCAAAAACGTCTTCCTATTCTACAGTGTAGCAAAGGGAGAGACAAGAATTCTGAGCACATTTTCCTTTTAAAATCATTGTCATTGATGGTAATTCTTTGTCCTAGAATTTATTAGTGTACACTGTAGGTTGTGTAGATCTTTGAAGGCTGACCTGAGAATTCACCACCAATAAAGATCCTCTATCTGGGGGGAAAAGCCTAGAGTTCCAAACAACTGCTTGCACATGCATACCGTGCACAACCACAGACCAGAAATGGAATAGTACCTGTATTTATCCTTTAGAATTGTCTATTTTTATATATTTTCTCAAGTACATTATACATAAGTACACCTTATATGATATAGAGGTAAAATAGCAGGTACAATTTCTTGAGAAAACAAACATATTTTAGAGGTTCTTCTCTTCCCAATTCATTTTATGTTTTCAACAATATTAAGAACTTTACATACTGAAATGCTGCAAGGTATGGAGTTCCACAAGGCAGAAATCAGAACTCACTCTGAACTGTCAAAATTCATTTGTAGTTTAATTCCTTCTCTACTCTTACCAATAGAATGTTCCTGGAGGTTAAGTGATATTCAGTGGCACAGATTATGAAGGCTAAGGTTTCCCTTCTTCAGAAACAAGCTGTAGCCCCTCCACTAATACTTGCACCCTGGGGCAAAGCAAGTAGGGAAGCTTGTCAGACACAAATCTGCCCACCTCTTTATGTTATCTCATGCTCGATCTGACTCAACATGCTGATGACCTAGAGAAAGCACTCTGGCTAAGTAAGCCAGGCTTATATTCTACTTTTGGTTCTTAGATAGTTGTTGCTGCCTTTATCCAACTGAAGTTGTACCACATGTGACTGACAAGTCTTAGTTAACCAGCCAAAGACTAGATGCTGGCCATATGAAGTTGTATAGTGTATAGGCTCTTCCTGCTTAAAGTGGCCAGATGGTTCCATCTAAAGACCATTTAAAGATATACATAAAGTGACTGAGAGTCAGCTACAACAAAATCCCAGCCTGCTCAACTTGGCTGTAGGCCTCATTTCAGGTCTACATTGACAACATTTTAGCTTAGCTGTGAAATTAACATTATCCCAAGAGCCCAGGGACTAACAGAAAGGAAAGAAAGTAGGAAAACCAGACTCCAACAATTACTATATACTGCCTGGTCTTTTGGATTTCACAAGAATTTTTTGTGTTTAAGAATCAATGTTTGCCTCTGAGTTGACACAAAAAGCAGAGGGCTAGTAGGTCCTTAAAAATAAGGACAGATACGAGACTCAGGAAGTAAAAGAACAGAATTGTAACAGAATCTGATAATTTGATTATATTTTACTGATATTTTACAGACAAATATTGAAGATATTTTTAAAAAACTAGTATGTTCATTTATAGAAGGAAATACTATAGTAATACTAAAATTCTATGGACTTACTTTAAAATTTATTATGAATTGTTAAAAAATATTAAAACATGGTATTTGATATTGAAATCACTATTTTTCAAATGTGTAAAGTTTATACTTTTCTCTATCATTTATATTTCCTGTAATGAACAAACAAGTATTACATTTCATTTTGAGAGTAGTAAACAATTCACATGGGACAGAAATATAATTATTAAACAAGTATATGAAAATCACAGCCAAGTACCAAAGAAATGCAACTTCCAATATTAGACTACTTTATAACTGGTTAACAACAACAACAAAAAAACATCATTACTTAATATTGTTCAAGAACTGTTAGAGCAATTCACACAAATATCTAATAGGTACATTAACTGGTACAAATCTACTGAAAAGCTATTTCAAGGACCATGAATTTGTTCATAAACCTTAACCCCAAATTTTAACTTTTAGGATTTCATCATGCAGTGAATAATAAAAGAAGTGGTGCTATATGCAGAGTAATGTTTATCAAAACTTAATGAAAACTATGAACTAATATTGAGCAAAGAAGAAAACTCAATAGAATGGTTATTAAAGGTAATCATTAACACCATGAAGAAAAAAATAGATATTTTTTACTTAATGTTATTTCACAAACAAGGTACCCAAAGTTGTATTTATCCTTTGAAAAAATCATGGTTTCATTCCAGAAGAACTAAAGGAGCACATAAAAATAAGTTGCTTTTTGACTGAGTGAAAGTCTAGGAGATACATTTCATTGTAAAAATGTAGTTATCTGTGTTCAATTTTGCTGTGAACCTAAAACTGCTTTAAAAAATAAAGTTTAGGCTGCATGCAGTGGCTCATGCCTGTAACCCTAGCACTTTGGGAGGCCAAGGCAGGAGGATCACTTAAGGGCAAGAGTTTGAGATTAGCCTAAGCAATAGCAAGACCCTCTATAAAAGATAAAAAAAATTAGCTGGGTGAGATGCACATTAGTAGTCCTAGCTACTGGGGAGGCTGAGGCAGGATGATTGCTTGAGCCCAGAAGTTTGAGGTTCCAGTGAGCTATGATGATGCCACTGCACTCTAGCCTGGGCAACAGGGACTGTCTCAAAAAAATAATATAAAATAAAAAATAAAGTTTAGTAATTTTCAAAAATGTACTTATTATCATAACATTAGACTCCCCAAAAGAAAATATTTTAAAAGCTTAAGATAGTATTTTCACTTCTTATAATGGGAGGCCAATTCTCCCCAAAAAAGATGAGAAACAAGACTAAAAAAAAAACAAAACAAAAAAACCTCCCCAAACAACAAACAATTCTGCTAGAAGATAGCAAACAGTAGCCAATAAGCTGGTTGAAGCCACGACCTGGGACAGAGTCGAGGCTCAAGAGACTTGCATTTCAATGTCCACAGCTGCATTATCTGAGATTGCCACAAAGAAGAACCAACTCATAAGCCTATTGAAAGTGGAAGGCAGCCAGGCACAGTGGTGTGGGCATGTAGTCCCAGCTACTCAGGAGGCTGAGATGAGAGGATCACTTGAGCCCAGGAGTTTGGGGCTGTACTGCGCTACGGTCATGCCTGTGAATAGCCACTGCACTCCAGCCTGGGCAAAAGCAAGGCCCTGTCTCTTAGAGAGAGAGAAAAAAAAAAAGTAGAGGAAAAATTTAATTATAGTATTTTGATATTAATGGAATGTACCTAGCAACGAAAATACATGAACTGTGGTTATACACATGACTGAACCTCATGAACATAATGCTGAGTGAAAGAAGACACAAAGGACTACAGACTATTAGACCCTTATATAATATTCAAAGATGGTAGCAATGTTCTACTTCTTGAAGATTTCTGGGTTGTGGTTATATTTTTTGCTTTATAATACTGGGCTGTGAATCCTTATTTTATATTTTTCTGTAAGTGTGTTATAGTCTACAAGAACCAGGTTTAAAAATGTATACAATAAGGAGTATGGAGATAGGTTTGAGAAGAGAGAATAACTGGCAAGTAAAGTAACAAAATTGCTTCCTTTTCCAGTAGTATGGAAGATTTAGTACCCAGGTAGAATCCCCTATTGAAAAATAAAAAATGCTAAATAAGTTGTGGATTATCCAAAAACTTCAACACAGGCATCTAAAGTGATCTTAGATGGACACTGCCCCATGGCACCTGACAAAAGCAAAAGCAAATTCTCTCTGAAGAAACCAATTCTATCAAGACCTCAACATGAGCTTAGCATCAAATTTACAAAATATGGCCAGGTGCAGTGGCTCATGCCTATAATTCTAACACTATGGGAGGACAAAGCAGGAGGACTGTTTGAGGCCAAGGAACTCGAGATCAGCCTGGGCAACATAATAAGACTTTGCCTCCACAAAAATTAAAAAAAATTAGTTGGGCGTGGTGGTGCACACATGTAGTCCCAGCTACTTAGGAGGCTGAGAAGCAGGAGGATCACTTGAGCTTAGGAGATTGAGGATGCAGTGAGCTATGATCATGCTACTGCACTTCCAGCTTGGGTGATGGAGCAAGACTGTCTCCAAAAAGAAAAGAAAAACAAAATAAAAAACAAATTTACAAAATAAATAAGAAAACATGACATCATAGAAGCCAGCGGAAACAACAAAATAAGATTCCCAAGAACTTCAAACACCAGGAAGACCACACGAAGAAACTATGTTTATTGTGTTTAAATAAATAAAAGTATTAAAAATACAAAGAATAAGACATTAGAAAAATGACCAAGAAAATTAAAAACTAAAATACAGTAACTAAAATAAAGACCATGGTGGATGGGTTAAAAGCAGATCACACCCTACTGAAAAGAGAACTGGTGAGCTAGAAGACATCTCTGAAGAAGTCATCAGGAATGCATCTCAGAGACAAGGAGGTGTGGTTGAGACATAGAGGTCAGGGGAGGAGAGGAGGATTACAGAAGAAGGAGAAGACGACGGGAAAGGGATTACTTGGGGTGAGAATAGTTATGAAATTTCCAGAACTGACCAATCCATGGTCTGGTAGTCTAAACTGTTTTGCCTATTTGAGATATATATTAAGTACAGAAATATCTATAAAAAATTGTTTACTTCACTTAGAATTATTTTTTTCTTTTTATTCTAAGGATGCCTGGATAGACTTATTATTATAAATGACGCTAATGTTACATTAAAAAAATTTTTAAATGTGTACTGTAGGATAAAGAAAATAAACATATTAAAGTTGTTAGAAATCAAGTTTTTTTTTTTGAGACAGAGTCTCGCTTTGTTGCCCAGGCTAGAGTGAGTGCTGTGGCATCAGCCTAGCTCACAGCAACCTCAAACTCCTGGACTTAAGCAATCCTTCTGCCTCAGCCTCCCCCGTAGCTGGGACTACAGGCATGCGCCACCATGCCCGGCTAATTTTGTTCTATATATATTAGTTGGCCAATTAATTTCTTTCTCTTTATAGTTGAGACAGGGTCTCGCTCTTGCTCAGGCTGGTTTTGAACTACTGACCCCAGAGTGCTAGGATTACAGGTGTGAGCCACTGCGCCTGGACGAAATCAAGTTTTTAGTGAAAGAAAAAATGTATAAATGTAAAATGTAAAAACTGAGACAAAAACCTCAATGTTAAATTTGAACTGGAAATTATGCACATAAATTTTTGATTAAAAAAAAATGTCGGCCAGGCATTTTACAGGTTCACGCCTGTAATCCTAGCAACTCTGGGAGGCCGAAGTTGGAAAGTTGGAGGATCACTTGAGCTCAGGAATTCAAGACCACCCAAGAATGTGCAAGATCCCGTCTTTCCTCTAAAAAAAAAAAAAAAGTGTGTGTGTAAATATATATATATATAAATATATATAAAATTAGCCAGGCCTCCTGCGTGCACCTGTAGTCCAGCTACTCACAAGGCTCAGGCAGGAGGATCCCTTGAGCCCAGTAGTTTGAGATTGCTGTGAGGTAGGCTGATGCCACAGCAGCCAGGCGACAAGAGGGAAACTCTGTCTCAAAAAGGGAAGAAAGAGGCGGGGCACGGTGGCTCACGCCTGTAATCCTAGCACTTTGGGAAGCCGAGGCGGGCGGATTGCTCGAGGTCAGGAGTTCAAAACCAGCCTGAGCAAGAGCAAGACCCCGTCTCTACTATAAATACAAAGAAATTAATTGGCTAACTAATATATATAGAAAAAATTGGCTGGGCATGGTGGCGCATGCCTATAGTCCCAGCTACTCGGGAGGCTGAGGCAGGAGGATCACTTGAGCCTAGGAGTTTGAGGTTGCTGTGAGCTAGGCTGACGCCACGGCACTCACTCTAGCTTGTGCAACAAAGCGAGACTCTGTCTCAAAAAAAAAAAAAAATGGGGAAGAAAGAAATGATTGTAACTGATTTAAAACACTACTTAAACAAAAATTCTTAAGACGAAAGTTATTTAAAAGAAAAAAAAAGCTAGAGGACATATATAAAGGAAAAATCTTCTTTACAGCAGAACATCAGATAATAATCTAAGTGGTAGATATATAAATGGGTGTTCATTGTACAGTCTTTCACCCTTTTATTATTTTTTTTATTTATTTATTTATTTTTTTCACCCTGTTTAAAAAGTTTGATTTCACCCTTTTATATTTAAAAATGCTGGGAGGGGGGAATCAATGACATTTTAAATAAGTGAGATTAAGAAGCTAAACTGATAAACAAATACATTAAAAATCCTGGATTCGATTTCGATTTAAAACCTGGTAAGAGTGCTTGTCTCTGGACAAAGGTCAGATTTGACAAGGCCACTGGTGGCAACAACAGTGTCTTTGTACAAATTAGAAAAAAGTACTTATATTGGGCTGAGTACCTGGAAAAGGGGGGCCCTTCCCTCTTACTCTTGGCATGGAACAGACCCACATGTACCCCTGGCTGAGAACTACAGTGTAAGACATGACCTTTGAGGACAGTGGTTTAAATGTACTACCTCTTTTGATTAGTTAAAAAATATCTGTATCAACTGTGATAATCTGATTAATTAATTTCAACACTCTACCATTCGTTACAAAGTTACAACTATTTCACCTCTGTAGACTAGAAGACAGTAAAAGAGTATAAGAAGAATAAGACTTATTTTTCATTGTGTATTCTTCAGGAAACTTTCTTTTTTAAAAGAAACATATTTATCACTTTTATAATAAAAACTAAAGAAATGCTTCATGTAATTCTACAAATAGGCAGAATGGTTGCAGAACACTTTCTCTATTACAACTGTAAGGAAGAAAATGTCTTTTAACATCTTGACTAAAACATAGGTAATATCAGTGCCCAGAAACAACTAAGCATCATAATCCCATAACCATGCAGTAAGATCCAGAAAACAGTCTCTACACGACTAATGTTAGAACAAACAAGATCATTAAAAAGAGATACAGTGCAAAGTGAAATAAGCCAGTCTGAAAAGGACAAATAATGTATGGTTCAACGTATATAAGGTCCCTAGAGTAGTCAAATCCTTAGAGACAGAAAGTAGAATGGTAGGCACCAGGGGCTGGGAGAAGAAGGCACAGGGAGTTGCTGTTTAATGAGGACTGTTTAATGAGAATGAGTTTCAGTTTGGGAAGATACAAAAGTTCTGGAGATAGATGGTGGTGATGGTTGCACAATAATGTGAATTTATTTAACGCCACTGAATTGTACACTTAAAAATGATAAAAATGCCGAGCGTGGTGGCTCACGCCTGTAATCCTAGCTCTCTAGGAGGCCGAGGCGGGCGGATTGCTCAAGGTCAGGAGTTCAAAACCAGTCTGAGCAAGAGCGAGACCCCGTCTCTACCATAAATAGAAAGAAACTAATTGGCCAACTGATATATATATATCTAAAATTAGCCGGGCATGGTGGCACATGCCTGTAGTCCCAGCTACTCGGGAGGCTGAGGCAGGAGGATCGCTTGAGCCCAGGAGTTTGAGGTTGCTGTGAGCTAGGCTGACGCCATGACACTCACTCTAGCCTGGGCAACAAAGCGAGACTCTGTCTCAAAAAAAAAAAAAAAAAAAAAAGATAAAAACGACAAATTTTATGTTATATATATTTTTCCACCCAAAAAAGAGAAAAAAGGCATGGTGGTGGTATACTTACACATTCAGATCAAAGTAATTCTTCAAATGAATTATTTCTTCAATATATCCATTTGCTACATCTGGAAATCTTGCTTCCTGGAAAGGAATAAGAACATTATTTGTAACTTATTCACTAGAATGGTTTCAAACGGCAATAAAAACTAGACGGCAAAAAGTATATAAAATGACTAAAGACTAGAAAAGGGCTACAAAGCAGGTTTGTGTGTGTTTAAAATTCAATGCTACATTCCCAGATTCATCTGACTAAACAGAAGATGAAATCTAGACAGGTGAAATAATCTGGTCCTCTGCCCCTATTTTATAGATCCAGTCTTCATTCTTTCAACAAATACTAAGCATCTCTGCCCAGGCAAACGGAGTCCAAACACAAATAAGGTACAATTCCATGCCTGTCCTCAAGAAGCACATAACCTAGAACTGGATGGGAACACCTGGGTGAAGTAGGATTAAGGAATTTACTCAAAGGCAAATAGCAGCTGACTCTGGATGGACATAAAGGCCTGTATTACTATGTCAGTACTACCCAACAGAGCTTTGTATGATGATGGAAATGCTCTTCTTTGTGCTTTCCAATGAGGGGGCTATTGACACCATGTGGCTGCTGAGGCTAAAATGTGACTGGTGCCACTGGAAACTGTATTTGTAATTTAACTGTAAGACATTTAACTATAAACAGCAACATGAGGCTACCGACTGCCATATTAGACAACATAGGTCTAGGTCAACCAAAAAACCTACTGTAGGGGTTTCAGCATCAACTCAAGGATTTTGAAAAAACTGTGGAGACTGCAGGTATGATAGCACCAGGCCACCATGATATGCAGCTAGAATCTCGGAGGGCTTCCTGGAGGGCTAAGTATAGTTTAAGGAACCTTGATTCCATTTTCATGTCTTCAGAGTTTCTCTTCTGTTCTATACATCTACATATATACCTCTTATGAAAATGAAGTCTACATATAAACGTTTTTTTTTGCAATGAAACAAAACTCAGTATACTTAGTTTCTACAATTATAATATAAAACTTACTGTTTCCTTCACTAGCAGTGCAACGAGTTCTTGATCTACCTCAGCAGCTTCTTGCCCCCAAATGTTTTCCAAGTTGGGCTCTTGAGATCCTTGCATTGGAAAGGCTGGACCTGGCTCTTCATCATCTATTGCTAATTGTTGGTCTTCAAGCTCTCCCAGAGGATGGGCAGGCTGAGGTGACGAGGGGCCTGGAATCCCATCCTGCTGGGGTTCTGGTCTTGGAAAAGCTGGCCTTGGAAAAGCTGGCCCTGGAAGTTCATGCTGAAACAACAAGGCAACCAGTTCTGCTTCAGGCTGCCGCTCTTGAGGAACAACCTGGTTTGTTATCTCACGGGGCTGTTGGTTTAGAGACTGGAGATAAGGATGATCTAACCAGCAGTCTTCTTCAATGGCCTGATCATCTTCTATAGCAGCTGACTCTTCGAGATTTGATAAAAGTTCTGTCTCTGAGTCTTCAGATGACTGGTTCTGAATTCCCAAAGGATCACTTTCTCCAAAAAGGAGGCTACTTTCTTCCAAGATTATGACTTTCTGCTCTGATCTGGGCTTGACAATGTCATTTGCTGCTTGGTTGTGACTTGGTCCAGGTTTGGGTTCTCTTTCTGTTTGGCCACTTGTCTTAGTGAATTCAGAGACTCCAGGAGGCCCAAGATCCAGAAATTCACCGTAGTCATCCTCAGAATCATCCTGTGCCCCAGAATCAAACAATGGGTTGTTACACACTGAAAAATAGCTGCTCTTATCAGATTCAAATGCTGCTCTAGACTTTTTAGGCCTTTCTTCTCCCAATCTTTTCAGATCTTGCCACTGGGCAGCTGGTTTGATGAGATTGGGTCGTGATGTCTGAGGTCTATTTGTCTAAGAAAAAATGAAATTTCAATAATAATAATAATTCAATGTCTTTCCTGTGCCTATTCCTCCTCATTGAGCTTCTAAGATAGGATAGGAAAGAAAAAAACTAATACCCTTCCCCTTAACAATACCTATTCTTCTCGTTTATCCTAACATTAAAATTTGATCACACTATAGTATCTGTAAGAATCAAGGTAGCTAGCTATTCATTGACTGAAGCTTGAGATATAGTTTGAATTATAATTTAACCTCTGAGACCCATAGAACAAAAACAACTGCACAGAAGAGGAAATAATAAAAGAATGCTAAGACAGCAGAGGAATTAGAAATGTTCAATGAACACATGAAAAGAATCTAAAGCTCATTAGTAATCGGCAAACTGAAAATTAAAAGATGATATTTTTTTCCCCCTTGTAAGACTGGAAAACTTTTTAACTGGATAATATCAAGCACTGGTGAGGATGTATGAAAACTATTATACTACCATCAACTGCTGGTGAATTTAGAAGAGCAATTTTGTACTATTTATTAAAGTAAAAAATGTATATAGTTAGATATGCCATTACTGTTTTTTCACATCTATTCTACAAACCCTTAAGAGAATAGTTAACTATTAATATGTGTGTATATGTGTCTGTACATATATATACTTTATGAAATGATTGTGTTTGTGTCTGCTTTTTTAAATAAACAGAATCATTCTGTATATGTATTATTTTACAGTGTGCTTTTCTTCATTTAATGTCATTTCTTGGTGAGCTTTCCATTTCAGTACATATTGAGCTCTCTCTTTCTGGTGAGGCAAAGTTGTATTTTGTAGAACAAGTAATAGTTAACCATTCTCTAAGGGACACACTTTAGAATTTCTCTAGTGTTTTTTTTTTTTCTTTTTATGCTACAAACAATGTGGTGGTAAATATCCTTGTATATGCCCTCTTTAGATACATAAGATTTTTTTCATAGATATGAAAAAACAATAATGACATATAAGTATATACATTTTTAAATTTAATAACTAGTACACAATTGCTCTACTAAATTAAAATTCAAAGAAAAGATCTGGAAAAGTATATGTCAAACTGATAACAACTGTCACTCTGGGAAATCTCATGTAAGAAAGGGGCTGGTGAATGTCAAGCTTTAGGGTGAGTCCTTGAAGGGCTAATCCACTTGAAATAAGGGCAAACTGGAAATGTGCCTCCCAAGAACTCAATTCTAGTTTGGACAGTTCAACACCCTGAATTTGAGATTGCTGGTGCCCTTGCTCTTCTTCAAGAAACCAATGTAGGTCATCCTCTGTAGAGAAATATAACATCACCTAGGATCTCAAAATTTTCAGACACAAAAATGGCATACAAGAATTTGGTGCAAGAGAAAACCAAAGCAAGAGAAGTAATGGACAACAGATACAAACCTACAAAGGTTTTAGACAGTGAAGTTATCAGATATGAATTCTAAAATAACAATTAGCATGTTTAGGGAAATAAAAGACCAAGTTAAGAATTTCAGCAGAATCAAATGCAGATTCCAGAATGGAAAAACACCATAACTAAGATTAGGAATCAATGGATTGATATAGAATATTTTAAATAAATATAGCTGAAGAGAGAAATTAGTGAATTGAAAGGCACATCATAAGAAAATGGCTGGAATAAGACAAATAAAAATGAAAATTATATAATAGGACAAAGACTACAATGAAAAGCTGGTCTTAACAACTATGTAACTGAAGTTCTAGAGAGAAGGAGAGAGAAGAAGCAATATTTGAAGGCAAAATACAAATATTCAAGAAAGACAGTGGCTTGATTTCAGTTTTGAAGATCCTAAGAGGATGAATTAAAAAACCCTGAACAATATAAACCTAGGTATAACATAGTAAAACAGCAGAAAACAGATAAAAAGAGAAATTCTTAACAGCAGCAGCACATATTGCCTTCAAAAGAACAAAAATAAGACTAACTTTTCAACAGAAAAATGGAATCTGGAAAACATTAAAATAGTATCTTCTTAGTGTTAAAAGAAAATAACTACCACACAGAATTTTATACTCAATGAAAGCATCAGCAGACCTGCCACAAAGAAAATTCTAAAAGGTAGTCTTTAGGCAGAAGAAAAATAATCTCAGTTTTAAGGCTAGAGATTCAGAAAGAAATGAAGAGTAACAAAAATGGTAAATATTTGGGTATGATGACAAATACTGACTGCATAAAACAAAACATATTGTGGATTTAAAAAATGTACACAGACTGGGTGCCTGTACTCCCAGCTACATGGGAGGCTTAAGGCAGGAGGACTGCTTGAGCCCAGAAGCTTGAGTTCAGCCTAGGCAACACGGTGAGACCCCATCTCTAAATAAGTAAATAAAATAAAAATGAATACAGAATTAAAATATAAAACAAAAATAGTATTTATGTTTGGAGAGGAATAAATAAAGTGATTTAAGGTTCTTTCCATTATTTAGCAAGAGTTTAGAGCATTAATTTATATTTATGCTGAGGACTCTATAATGTAAGGAATCCTAAACTAGCCCTTAAAATAAATCATATGTATTAGACATGACACCAACAGTGACAAATGACATAGGAAAAAATAAGCTGGACTTCAGCAACCAGCAAACTGGTATTAACTGAGCAGCATCTAAGTGGACACATAGGTACTATTGTAATAGGGTATTGGGCAGGTGGGAGGGAGGTGGGTATATATATACATAATGAGTGAGATGTGTACCATCTGGGGGATGGCCATGCTGGAAATTCAGACTTGTGGGGGGAGGGGGGAAAGGGCATTTATTGAAACCTTAAAATTTGTACCCCCATAATATGCTGAAATAAAAAAAAAAGAAAGAAAAAAAAAACTTTTATGTTTCAAAGGACACTATCAAGAAAGTGAAAAGATAACTCACAGAATGAGAAAAAATATTTGCAAATAAGATACCTGATAAAGGTATAGTGCCCAGAATATATAAACAACCCACTTAAAAAAAACTAGAAGATACTGCATAGGTATTTCTCCAAAAAATATATAAAAATCCAAAGAAGATTAAAAAATAGCCATAAGTATATGAATGATGCTCAAAAGCAGTGGCCACAGAGAAATGCAAACTAAAATCACAAGGAGGGGCCGGGACCCCGCCTCTAATAAAAAAATAGAAAGAAATTAGCTGGACAACTAAAAATATAGAGAAAAAATTAGCCGGGCCTGGTGGTGCATGCCTGTAGTCCCAGCTACTTGAGAGGCTGAGATGGGAGGCTCGCTTAAGCCCAGGAGTTCGAGGTTGCTGTGAGGTAGGCTGATGCCCTGGCACTTTAGCCTGGGCGACAGAGTGAGACTGTCATTCATTCATTCATACATACATACACACACACATAAATAAATAAATGAAGTTTACATTAACAAACCTTACATTTAAGGTGCTTTTCCCTAGCCGGTTCATCTTAACTGGGCCTTTACTTATGCCTTTTTTTTGAGACAGAGTCTCGCTTTGGGGCTCAAGCAATCCTGCTGCCTCAGCCTCCCAAGTAGCTGGGACTACAGGCATGCGCCACCATGCCCGGCTAATTTTTCCTATATGTATTAGTTGGCCAATTAATTTCTTTCTATTTATAGTAGAGATGGGGTCTCACTCTTGCTCAGGCTGGTTTCGAACTCCTGACCTCGAGCAATCCGCCCGCCTCGGCCTCCCAGAGAGCTAGGATTACAAGCGTGAGCCACCGTGCCTGGCCTACTTATGCTTTTTTGTTGTTTGGACAAATTATAATGTTTAGCTCTAAGTTCTGTAAGTTGTCTACCTTTTTTCACATGGGAGTCCATCCCTTTGGAAGTGCAAACTGAGAGCTACCTAACTACTTTAAGGACTGATGGTCTAAAGGGGGGAGAGAAACTACAGTTGACTCTTAAACAAGGTTTGAAGTGCACAGGGCCACTTGCATGTGGATTTTCTTCCACTTCTGCCTCCCCTCCTACTCTTCCTCAGCCTTCTCAACATGATGACAATGAGGAGGATGAAAACTTTTATGACGATCCATTTCCATTTAATGAAAAGTAAATATATTTTCTCTTCCTTATGATTTTCTTAATAATATTTAAGAATACTTAATACTACTTAATAATACTTTATACTTAATACTTAATAATACTTTAAGAATACAGTATATAATACATACAACATAAAATACATGCTAATGGACTGTTTATTTTATCAGTAAGGCTTCGGTCAATAGTAGACTATTAGATGTTAACCAAGATCAAACAGAGCAAAAATTACATGAGACTGAATGAACTGATAAAGAATTCAAGTTTTTATGGCTTCTTTATTTGAAACATTGCTGGTTCATTTTCCAAATTTAAGGAAATTTTTTTTTTCTTTTAAGCTATCTATAGCTTCCAGCAATTTGGTAAAGCACATTTTTGTAAATAAAATTGAAACACTGCTTTTTCTCCCTATGTGGTACCAGAAACTATTTGTTAGTATTCTCATTTTTATGGCAATATGGTTTTCTTGTGTAATTTCAATAAGAATCTGCTCTCTTTAGAATAAGATACAATCAGAAACTGGTTATATTACCAAGGCTTTGACTGAAATGTCACGTTTGAAAATGTGCATATGGTGTCTGGCTTCAAGGGTTCCCTGCCTTATACTGAGTGAGTAAAAGTCACCTCCTGGCTGGCCCAGGAACCTCAAGATATTAGATACAAAGGCAAAATCTATGTCTGCCTTGGTTTAGCTTCCTAATATCGAGCGGTTTCTTTAAAGTCCAATCTGAGATTCCTTGTCAAAATTTCTAGCAAAGCAAATTTAAAAGGCACCTGTGTGGTTATACTTGCACCACGTATATAAATAATCAAGCAAACTGGTCTTAATGTGATGATTATCTTCGACAGAAATGGGGGTCACTCTTATAGAGAAAAATTACATTTCAAAAGAAAAATACAGTACATCTGTCATTATATTATAGCCCTGTTCATTGTTTTTGAGTTTTTATTATCTACCTGTAGACTGGACTGAATTCTTCTAGTTTTCTCTGTATCTGGCTACAACCCTCCACTGAAGGAGAACTGCTCAGTTCCTGGAGCCCAATAAGTCGAAGCTGGGACAACTCACTGTAAGTTTCAAGGGACAAGTCTCATGTCTGATGTGTGGACCTCATAGTTTACAAGAATACCTGATGCCACAACCAGAGACATTCAAACTGCGAACTAGGACAAGAAGTGACCAACTTCATGCTGTGGACAGCTTTTCCCAACCACTGGAATAAGATTATTATAAGACTCTTAATTTCTCCTTACTTATGCCTCTTTTCCTTGACAGGATAATGTTGTAGCTAAAATTTCACAATCAGTAGCTTCTGCAGGTAGCTTGCACCCCTTGCTTCAATTTAACCCAGTCATGTGATGTTCACTAAACGGAAAGGAATCTGTATAGCTGACAACACTTCTTGTACACAAATAAACACACTGGGTATGGCAAAGCCAACTACTTGGTTAAAATTGGTAGATTCCGGGTCTAACTTGGTTTGGTTCACAGACCAGAGCTAAGGAGAATACTCCAACCAAATTCTTGGTATTACCCTACCAATCTCCCTGGTATACTATAGCCTCTCAGAATATTTTCTTTCTTTTTTGAAACAGGATCTCACTCTGTCGTCTGGGCTAGAGCGCAGTGGTGTCATCATAGTTCACTGCAATCTCAAACTCCTGGAGTCAAGCAATTCTCCCGCCTCAGACTCCAGAGTAGTTGGGACTATAGGTGCACACCACCACACCCAGCTAATTTTTATATTTTTTGTAGAGACGAGGGTCTTGTTATGTTGCCCAGGCTGGTCTTGAACTTCTGGCCTCAAAGGATCTTCCTACCTCAGCTTCTCAAAGCACTAGGATTATAGGCATGAGCCATCATGCCCAGCCCTTCAAAGAGTTTTAAAAGCTTCCATATACCCATCTGTCAAAGGTAAAAATGGTCTCTCTCCAGCTGCAGCAACAAAAACTGAAAGAAGTGGATGACAATGAAGACACCATAACTTACAAATGGCATGCTGGGACTGCAAAACCCAAAATGATGGTAACTAAGTAGTGCTGATGCCTCAAAAGGGGAGAACTATTAAATAAAAATTATAAGAGGCCACTGTTTTGGACTAGGTTTCTGCACTAGGCCCCAAAAGACCAGACTAAAAACCAAAATGGAATCACCCCTGTTAAAGTTCCACCTCACTGAACCTAAACTAAATTGTCATCTGACCTTCCAAGAAATCAAGAGAAAGGTAACAGTAACTGTCAGCTTCCCAAACAGTTTAAATCTTTAATCAGCATGATAATGAAGTTCCCTCTGCTTTAATCCTCACACAGAAAAGGTAGCCTGAAGTAACCAGATAACTAATCATTTTTCTACTGTTTTGTCTCCCAATCCCATCTTGTAAGGAAAGAACTCTGAAAGGACTAATATGCTCTTTGTTCTTTGCTTCTGCTTTCTTCAGCCCTTCTGTCTCTAAAGCCAACCTCCTCTACTCAGCTCACTGTAACTCTTATGCTACTTCATGGAATGAAGTGTTACCTGATTCTACAATCACAGTAAAGCCAATTGAGATCTTTAAACTTAAAAAAAAGAGAAAAGAAAAAAAAAAAGCAACAGATCTTTAAATTAAAAAAACAAAAACAACAGCTAAAAGGTACAATGGAAGAAAAGATACCATTCACAAAAGCAAGAGAAAAGACAAATCAAAAAACAAACAAAGAATGTTAAAAGATCTATATTAAGAAACATTCAAAATGCTCTGGCTGAGGAATATAAAAGGCTAGACTATACAGAAAGACAAAACTTGTTCTTGTTTAGAAAGTGTCAGTACTGGCTGGGTGTGGTGGCTCATGCCTGTAATCCTAGCACTGCGGGAGGCCAAGACAGGAGGATTGCTTGAGCCTAGGAGTTTAAGACTAGCCTGAGCAACATAGCTAGACCCCACCTCTACAAAAAAAATTAAAAAACTAGGTGTGGTGGTGCGTGCCTAGAGTCCTAGCTACTAGGTGGCTGAGGCAGGAGGATCACTTGAGTCCAGGAATTCGAGGTTCCAGTTACCTAAGATCAGGCCATTACACTCCAACCTGGTTAACAGAACAAGACTTTGTCTCCTTAAAAAAAAAGTACTGTAAAAATTGTTCTATAGATAATAACATTTGTTTTGTTTAGACAAACTGATTATCTACTATCTATTTATATTCTGCAACTAAAAAAGCTGACTGTAAAACATAAAAATGTAAGTGTAAGAATATCTAGGATGATTCTGAAAAATGTGCGGTAATATAGGGAGTTATGCCCTACCTGACAGTAAGATAGATTATAATGTAGGAATTATGACAGTGTAGAATGGTGCATGCATAGTCAGATAGAGCAAGGGTAGAGAAGTTCATGGCTTTCCAATCCAAGGGGATAGGAGTTGGAATGGAGAGAGGCTGTTCTTAGAAACGTATAACAAGTGCACAGAGGTGCTCTCAGCTGTTCTATAATAAGGCCCACAGAGTGGCTGAAAAATCAGAGACTAACTTGCAACAGTTTAAGAAAACTCACTTCTGTCAGGATGACATCATCATCCAGGTCCTCTTCGTCATGTTGCTGAGGAGCCGGGGTGACCAGCATCGGAATCCCTTCCTCATCAGAGGAGTCAGATATGGTGATGGGCGCATCTCTGAGATTGATCCAGTCTACAGGAAGGCAGAGAACACTGTTACTGGGAGGCCAGCACAATTGTATTTAATCCTTTAGTTCAATTTTAGTGTGAAAAAGGTCAGGCCTAAAGCCAAGTTCATGGCTACTGGTATAGCCCCTAGCAGCACATACACTTAAGCATTAAGACTCATGTTTCTGTGCCGATTTTTTGCCAATAATACATTTGGGGACTTGCTAAAGAAAATCTGACAATTACTATGTGCAAAATATCAACTTTTTTCCTAATATTAACACTAGGGTTGAAGAAATCTCTTGATAAAATCTTCTGGAGTGCCAATTTCTTTAAAGTGAAACCATGGCCTCTCACCCATCTCTATTCCTCCCAAGAATAAAAGATTTTTTAATTTAAACTGCTAGGTCTGAAAAAATTATCACTCAAAACCAGTTATATTTTCATTTAACATTTAAAATATTAAAACTTGCTCACTTTAGACATAAACTTTAAGAATCATTTAAACAAACATATTTTAATGTTTTAGTCAAGCACCCATTTAACATCTATGACAATAAGCAATTTAACTTTTCTAGTTTCCTTTTAAATATAACTATAATTTTAACCATCTAGATATAGTAATTCTGTTCAAGGTCTCTACTTCCTTTTCTCTCTCTCTAAAGACAGAACATGTTTGATATGAATTATAGGATAACAAACTGATATTTTTTCCTGCCTGGTTTGATGGGAATGTCAAGGCCAAAATGGGCAATAAAGAGAAAATGCATTAAGTGACCTAAAAAAAAGGAAGAAAGAAGAACAAGAAAGAGGTATCATCATTACAATTTCTGAAATTCCTCCATTAAAGCTGTAATGTCTTTCTCAAAGTTAATGCCTCATGTATTTCTTGGCACTCTACAATTTGAAAAGCAATCAAAAACCAATGATTTTACTTCATTCCTATAAGAAAGCAGCAGTGATGCCAGGGACAATAGTTGCATCTGTAGCATCTAAGGTCAGACAGCCTAAGTTTAAATCTCAGCTCTACCACACATTAGCTATTGGGGTTGTTACCTAACTTCTTTAAGCATCCACTTCCTCAAATTATGGACCTGCCCACCCCCAACCCCCATCACCCGCTTCTCCTCACCTGCCCCTCCTAAAATAATTGTGAAGATTAGTTGAGAAAACCCAGATAAGATGCTTACTACTTACAGATCTCTTAGACTGACAAATGTAACCAACTGAACTGAGGGCCTGAATAGGTACATTATAGAGAACTTTCAGTTAAACCTGGCAGAAAGAATGCAAGTGATTATCACCATCACTTCCTAAAACTCCAATAAAATGACAGTAAGGGAACTTTTTAAAAAGTATATACCCTCAAGGCACACAAAGAGAAGGTATCTGGGAGGCCTAGGCAGACAGATTGCTCAAGGTTAGGAGTTCAAAACCAGCCTGAGCAACAGTGAGACCCTGTTCTCTACTAAAAAAAATAGAAAGAAATTAATTGGCCAACTAAAAATATATAGAAAAAATTATCTGGGCATGGTGGTGCATGCCTGTAGTCCCAGCTACTTGAGAGGCTGAGGCTGAAGGATTGCTTGAGCATAGGAGTTTGAGGTTGCTGTGAGCTAGGCAGATGCCACGGCACTCTAGCCTTGGCAACAAGAGTAAGACTCCATCTTAAAAAAAAAAAAAAAAAAGAAGAGAAAGGAGCTCGTAGTAGGCAGGAGAATTTAACAGAATTCTGAGAAACAGCATATTTACAGGTGGCAAGAGCTTTTAGCAGACTGGAAAAGGCTCAAACCCACAGCCTATAGAGTGGAGAGCCAAACAGAAGTGGCCTAAAATTCATGCTGAATCCTAGAATAGTGCAGAAATTGATGGCACAGGATACTTTTGAGAACAGAAATGAGAGGTGATTCAAAGTCTGTATTTCTTCTATCCTACATAGCCAAGTGACAAGCCACAGCCAGTCAGGCAAATGACAAAGATAAGTCTAGATGTAGATCTCTTTGTATTTATCCTTCTTGGGAGTCCATTTCCTAGACACACAGATTAACATTTTTCATCAAATTTAGGAAGTTTTCAGCCACTGCTTATTCAAATATTTTTTCTATACCTTCTGTTTTTCTGTCCTCTCCAACTGAGACTTTCGTTACACATATGTTAATAAGCTAATGATATCCTCAAAATTCTGAGGCTCTTTTCATTTTCTTCATTCTTTTTTCCTTCTATTCTACAGATCAGACAATCTCTATCAATCACTTATTCTTCTGCTAGCTCAGATCTGTTGTCAAACAGATCTTTAGTGAATTTTTCGTTTTAGTTATTGTACTTTTTTTTTTTTTTTAAACAATGCTATGACTGTGCTATAGTTATTGTACTTTTGACCTCCAGAGTTTCCACATATATATTTTTTTTAAAGAGATGAGGTCTCACCATATCACCCAGACTGGTCCCCAACTCCTGACCTCAAGCAATCCTCCTACCTCAGCTTCCTGAACAGCTGGGACTATAGGTGTGAGCCACTGTGCCCAGTTATTTATTTCTTTAGTTATTTGAACAAGCAATTTGAAATCTCTACCAATTAACTCCAACATTGGTTTCCAGTGAGACAGCCTTTATGGACTCTTTCACCTGTGTTATGTGTCAGACTTTCCTGTTTGTCTTAGTATTTTTTGTTGAAAACTGTATATTTAAGATAACATAGCAACTGTGGATTCTGATCCCCCCTGCATCAGGAGAAGTAGTTGTTGCTGTTTTTGTTTGTGCCTTGTATAGACTCATTTTGTGGAGTTTGTTTTCCCCAGTGTTGGGATGATCTCTGTTCAGGTCTTTTTTCTTTTTAATTCCTGTTTTCATTTTTAAGGCTTGCTTCCTAGCAGTTACCCCTGGGACAGCGTAAGCTTGGTGGACAGCCATGTTTAAACATCTTGAGCCAGCAATGCTTCCACTCTTTGCAATTGGATCTGTGTGGTTTGGAGAAGGCATCAGAGTTTAGGCACATTACAGATCTCTTCTAGCTTTTAGTTCATCAATTTCTGACAAGGAACAGCAGCTTGCTAGGGCCTCTTACATGTCTCAAGTGTGTTTATGACCTTGTGCGTATGTATAACCTTCCAGACCACCAAAGATATATAGGTTATTTAGGCATTCTTAGGCTGTCTCCTTCCCCGATCTCCCAGTTAAATTTCTCAGATTAGCTGTGATGTTCACCTTTTATGACTGTTTGCCACTAGGATTTCTACCACTTTTGATGATGTTCCTGGGCATGGAATTCCCCCTCCTTCCCTCCCTCCCTCCCTCCCTCCCTCCCTCCATTCTTCTCCAAATAAGGTCTGCCCGTTTCACCATCAGTCTTCCCAGCCTCTTCCATGGGCCAGGCCGGCCCAGGTAGAACTTCACCATATGAAAGAGATGGACCTGGGAAGCGACTAAGGGAATGGGAGCAGCCCCAGACTAAAACTCCATGCATTTTCACTCTTCTTACCCAGCGTCAGTAGATTTTCCTGAATAAATGCTCTCAATTGTATTGTATGCGTTCGGTCAATTTCCAGTCTTTGAATGGTTGTTTTCAACAATTTTATATAATTTTATTGTTGATTTTTTAGGGAGAGGATGCTGAGCTCCTCACTTAGCCATTCCACAAGACCTACCCCATGGAGGTTCATTCTAAAGAAATACTGAGAAAGAGAAGCTCTAGCCTTTGGTACACCAGGCACTGGAGTCAAAAGGGAAAAGCAGCACTGCTGAAATAGGCATAGAAAGTAAGATCACAGTTGCCTTCTGCTGCCTGGTTCTCTGAATTCTTGCACACAGTCTTACAGTCCTTATTCAGGAAACTGTAGATTCCTCTCTGGAAGAATTGGCCCAAGAAAAAGGTACACAACCCTGGGGGATCCAGTGAAAGTTGGTTTGAAACCTATCACCTTAAAGTCCAAGTTGACAAGATACCATATACCACACATATATAAACACATGAGGTTTCAATTAGTTTTCAAAAATATAGTTTAAAAAATAATAAATAATAACAAAGCAAATGCTACAAATCATGTGGATAGCCCGAGTTAATACAAAAGGCCCATCCATGAGTAATCATCACCAGGTCAGGAAATATTTCCAGCACGTTGGTAACCTTCCTGTGCTTCTTTCAATCACTACTCTCTCCTTCCTCCCCAAAAGGAGGATTTCTAACTCCACAGATAAGTTTTGTTTTTGAGAATACATTCTTCTTTGTCTGGCTTTCTTGCAAATAACATGTCTGAGATGCACCCATGTTGCATGCTACTGTAGTTCTCTCTGCTGTATTTAATCCACCATGTGAATATATCATAAATTATTGTTTTGTTGATGGACACTTGAGTTGGTGCCAATTTTGGATAATGCCGTTATAAACATTCTTGTACAAGTCTTTGGTGTACCCATTTCAGTTGGGTACATTGTAGGAATGGAACTGCTAAGTCACAGGATAAGTACAGATTCAATTTTAGTAGGTAATGCTAGAAATTTTCCAAATTGTTTGTATGAATTTATACTCCCATCTGCAGTATAGGATAGTATCTGTTACTTCCTGTCCTTACTGGAATGCAGCCATGCTCATGCATTTATATTTAGTTTATAGCTACTTTCGCGCTACAATGGTATAGCTGAGTAGTTGCAACAGAGACCATATGGCCTGCAAGGCTGAATATTGACTACTTGGCTCTTTAAATTTGCTAAGCCTTGGTTTTCATTATTAATTTCTCAGCTCTACTGGTTATTCAGTACATGTATTTTGTATTTTAGGCCACAAATCTTCTTCAAAACATGGCATTAGAAGCATCTCATAAATTTCAACAGATTATATTAGTATTTTCATTATCATGCAACTCAAAATATCTAATTCCATTGTGATTTCTCCTTTGAACCTTGAGTTGTTCTTAAGTATATTCCTATTTCCCACACATACTGAGATTTTCTAATTTTACCTCTATAAATAATTTATGGCTCAATTCCAATGTGGTTAGAGAATATAATTTGTATGATTTCAATCCTCTGAAACTTAAAACGTGTTTTCTAGCTCAAAATATGGCTAATTTTAGTAAATTCATAGGGGGCAGTATTCCACACATTCCTATTACATCAAGTTTGTTGGCCACGCTCTTCCACTCTTCTGTGGAATGTATGGAAAGCCCATACAAATGCCTGGGCCCGCTCTCTCAATCACTGAAAGAAACGTGTTAACTCCCATTATGACTATGGATTTGTCCAATTCTGCTTTTAGATTTGTCAATTTTTGCTTTGTATATTTTTGTATCATGTTACTTAGAGTACAGGGATTAGCAGTGTTTTATCTTCCCAGTACTCTGAATCTTTTATCATTATGACTTCTATCTTTATTAACACTTCTGGTTGGGGTTTCTATCAGTTTTATCTGATGGTATATAGACATACTAGCTTTTCTTTTTGGCTATTTGTATGATGTATATTTATTCATTCCTGTACTTTTAATCTTTCTTTATTTTACCTTCAGTTTAAGCCTATTTCCACTGGGTATAAGTAGGAAAAATAGTATTTAGCAATTAAAAAGGAATTAATTAGTGATACATGCAATAACATGGATGAATCTCAAAAACATTATGTTGGGCAAAAGAATCCAGGTACAAAGAGTATATACTGCATGAGTCCATTTATATATGAAATTGGACAATGACAAAAAGCAGATCAGTGGTTTCCTTAGGCCAGAGTCAGGTAAGGATTGACTGCAAAAAGGCACACAGGAATCTTTTGGGGGTGACAGAAATGTTCTACATCAGTACTGAGGTGGTACATTCATTTGTTGAAACTCAATGAACTATATACTTAAAAAAAAAAAAAAACAACTACAGAGGTTGGTGCAAAATAAAAATTATTAATGCAGCTAATAAAAACAAAACAAAGCTATCCACCTGAAGAAGATTCTTGCGATGGGTGCAGAGGATACATATTTGTCTAACAAAAAACATACCTCCAAAGTTAATAATTTTCCAAAAGGAATTAGCTGGTTGTTTTAGAGATAGGGTCTTGCTCTGTCTCCCAGGCTGGAGTGCAGTAGCGTGATCACAGCTCACTGCAGACTTGATCTCCCTGGACTCAAATGATCTTCCCACCTCTCTCAAAGTGCTGGGATTATAGGCATGAGCCACCATGCCTGGCTGCAATTAGCTGTTCTTAAACTCTGTTTAAGAATATTTAAGAACCAATTAAAAGACAGCAACAACCACAACATTAATTTAAAATCTTAAAAACCAGTATTTCTGGCCAGGCATGGTGGCTCATGCCTATAATCCTAGCATTCTGGGAGGCCAAAGCGGGTAGATGGTTTGAGCTCAGGAGTTCAAGGTCAGCCTGAGCAAGAGTGAGACCCTGTCTCTACTAAAAAATAAATAGAAAGAAATTAGTTGAACAACTAAAAATATAAATAGAAAAAAAATTAGCCGGGCATGGTGGCGTGTGCCTATAGTCCCAGCTAACTTGGGAGGCTGAGGCAGGAGGATTGCTTGAGCCCAGGAGTTTGAGGTTGCTGTGAGCTAGGCTGACACCACAGCACTCTAGCCTGGGCAACAGAGTGAGACTCTGTCCCCTTTCCTTTTACCTACTCTTGTGCCTACAGTGCCTACAGGACAAGGATGAAGACCTTTCAGATGTTCCATTTCCACTTAATAAATAGTAAATATATTTCCTCTTCCTTATGATTTTCTTAACATTTTCTTTTTTCTAGCTTACTTTATTGTAAGAATTCAGTATATACTACATATAAAATACAAAATATGTGTTCATTGACTATCACTGGCAAGGCTTCCCGTCAATAGTAAGCTATTAGTAGTTAAGCCTTCAGAGAGTCAAAAGTTATACGTGGGCTGGGCGTGGTGGCTCATGCCTGTAATCTCAGCTCTCTGGGAGGCTGAGGTAGGAGCACTGATTAAGCTCAGGAGTTCAAGACCAGCATGAGCAAGATTGAGAGATCCTGTCTCTACTAAAAATAGAAAAATTAGCTGGCCATCATGGCACGCTACTGTAGTCCCAGCTACTGGGAGGCTGAGGCAGGAGGATCACTTGAGCCCAGGAGTTTGAGGTTGCAATGAGCTATGATGACACCACTGCACTCTACCCAGAGTGACAGAATAAGACTCTGTCTCAAACAAACAAACAAACAAAGGAAACTCAACCATGCTCCTCACTACCATTTTTTCAAAAAAACCAAAAATCATATGTGGATTTCTGACTACATTGGGAGTTGGCTCTCCTAAGCCCCACACTGTTCGAGGGTCACCTATAATTTACTCTCTGTTGGAAAAAAAAAATCATCTTCATAGCACAAAATATTATCAATGGGAGAAAAGGAAACCAGTAAAACTTCTTCCATGGAATTTATACTTATAAAAAATAAACATATTAAGGATTCCTTTTTTACTCTTCAGCATTTTTTCTCTTTTAGTCTAAGTGTATAAGTGAATTGGGATTTGACAGGAAATTCATATACATTTAAGAACGTTACCGAAATGAAGGCACTCTTCCCTTCATGAATTAATGAATTTTCTAAAATTTTAAACATGGTAAAACAAAAAAAATACTTGTTCTAAAACTCCCCATAAGGCTAAGTCAGAATCTTCTGGCAAAAAAGAATTTTAAGCATCATGTGAAGACAAGATTACTTTAGCAGCACTTATAGTCCTTTAGATCATATGGGCCTAGAGAAGTGTTCCTCTGCAGTCACCATTCCTCCAAAACCAGAAAACTGACACTGTTTCTATAATCCCACCTCTTAAGACCAAATGACTGCATATTCATAGCTTTTTTGCTAATAGCTTATTAATCTACTTGTGATGGATGATTCTTAAACTTCATTCAGGCCAGCAGATTTCATCATTTAACATAATTCTAGTATTCTACCAACTCCTTTTATACCTGATGTTCTAAGGTCTAAAAACGAACTGTCTCTAGATTCTAAACGGTGCAATATAAGTTCACTTCAAAGAAGATGTAGCTACAATACTAAAAGAAGTGAGGAAAAGGAGAACGAACAAACTTACCTTGTCCCCGGTGGCAGTGAAAGTTATTCAAGTGAATTACCTCTTCACTGTTGTTTCCCTCTGCCATTTTCAAATGCAGACATACACATACGTGATTGCTAATATCTAAACATGACGACGATCTGTTCCAAACAGTCTGAAAAAGAAAAAAAGAGGAACGTTAAGAACGAGGGAGTACCAAAACTCTTCCCAAATATCTGATCAAGGTAGCATTCAAAGCTTATGCTGAAAACATCCCTTAAGAAAACACGAACTCAAAACATGGCACTAAAAAAATACTGTGTATGTTAAACAGACAAAGCACTGAGAAAGTATTCACATCCAGATACAAATATCCTAACCAAAAAATGGGCTAAGGAGATAAACAGGCAATTCACAAAAAAGAAAACAAAAAAAGACACTCAATCTCACTAGTACTCACTAGTAATCAGGGAAGGCAAATCAGAAAATGAGTCATGTTTCAAACCATTAAGCTGGCAATGGCAAGCATGTGAAAAATGGGAAATCTTTCAGCAATTATTGCACATCAGGTAAACCTCATTGGTTACAATACTGCCACTGTGTGAAGCTTGAGAAATAGGAAATCTTATACATCTGGTTTAGAGAGTAACTTGAACAGACATCTTGGAGAGCAACTGTCAATACCCACTAAGTTAAAAACGTACATTCCCTGTGACTTAGCAATTCCTCTTCTAGGTATATTAACTAAAGAAACTTGTGAATATTCTCCAGGAAGTATGCATAATAGAAGATGTGAAATTAATCAGGCATGGTGGGGAGGCTGAGGCAGGAGGATCATTTGAGCCTAGGAGTTAGAGGTTGCAGTGAGCTATGAAGACACTACTGTACTCTATCTCAGGCAACAGAGCAAGACTCTGTCTCAAAAAAGTAAAGGAAAAAAAATATGTGGATAAGAATGATTGCTACAGCTATATATATATAATAAAAGCAATTGGAAATGAACTTACTGAACATCAGTAAAGGAATGAATAAATAAAATTCATATATGGATACAAAACAGTTAATAACTAGATCTAAAAATATCATGGATAACTCTAAAAGCAATGTTAAATGAAAATGTGTTATTATGTAAATTTATATAAAATTTAAAATATTTTACTTAAATATTAAAAATACCATATGCATGAGAATTAACTCACCAACTTCAGGACAGTGGCTATTTCTGTGAAAGGGGGACTGAAAAGGAACTAAGGCTTAAACTTGAGTTACATATAACATTTTTTCTTTCTTTTAAAGATATTTCAAGCAAACAAGGCAAAACATGAACATATGTTAAATCTGGGTAGTACATTTGGGTAGTAGAGTTTTTTTGTATTCTTGAAATCCTTTCCTCTCTTCCTTTTTAAAAAAAGATATAGTGGCACTAAAGCCAAGATAATACTTTTCCATGGACCAGCAATGGAAAAGAAACACAGAAGTTAGGGAAGGGGCTAAAGCTGCAGAACTACTAGGGTCTGGGGCTCAGAAGCAGGGAGAAGCACCTGGGAGTTGGACTCATGGAAGTAATGGAGACCAAAACCCCATGTCTATTAAAGGAGGAGAAATAGGGTGTGGGGAGAGTGAATTTAACTGGCAAGTATCATGTATCAAAAGTATTCAATATATGTATAAAACTATATACTAAAGTGGATAGATTTTAATTTTAATTACATATGTACACATATAATTACGTGCTTTTAATTATGTATCAACAAAGGTTTTTAAAGAGTAAAAAAAAGATAAAGAGCCTAGGGGGAAAAAAACCCCACAAAACATTACCACATATTCACTGCAATAGTTAAAATGTAAAATGGTACCACTCTAAAGAGCTGTTCTGCAGTTTTTAAAAAATTAAATATGCATCTCTATGTAAATATACATGAATGATCTAACAATTCTACTCCTATGTATTTATCTAAAAACCTAAAAAATACATGCAGAAAAAGACTTGTAAAAGAATGTTCAGAGCCACTTTATTCACAACAGCCAATAACTAAAAGTAGCCTAGATTTCCATCGGCAGAACAAATAAACTGGTAGGTACTTGCATAATGAAGACTACTATGAAATAAAAAGGAATTAATTTGTGATACATGCAACATGGATGAATCTCAAAAACAGTACACTGAATCAAAGACGCCAAACACAGAAAAGTAGACAGTTAATATTTTATTTATATGAAGTTCTGGAAAAGAAAAAACTAATTTATGATGACAGAAATCAACAGCTGATTTGTGGAGAGAGGGCTGACTAGGAAGGGCATGAGGGAACTTTTTGGGGTGACAAATGTGTAGAGGTTGATGAAGTTGTGGATTACAAGAGTGTATGCATCTGTCAAAACTGGTCAAACTGTCCCTTTAATATCTGTTCATTTCGTTATATGTAAATTATACCTCAATAGAAAGTGTTAAAGAGAGGTTCACTTTAAAGAAAATGTAGCTGCAATACTAAAAGAAAAAGTGGTGAGGAAAGGTAGAAAGAGTCACACAAGATTGAGAGATTATAACAGGTATGATAGAAGTTTTAGAAAGAGAACAGAGGAATGATGTAAAAGAGTATATAAAAAGGTGATGGTTATCAAGGCAAAATGGGAAAAAAAACAAAACAAAACAAACAAAAAAAAGGTGATGGCCAAGATTATTTTCTAAAACTTGAAAAAACCGTAAATCTTCACATAAAATATACTATTGAGCAGTAGCAAAAATAAAACCACATCTAAATAAGTCATAATGAAGAACATTAAAATCATAAAAACTACCAGACATATAACATGGCTAAAAATTGATGCCTTGTAAGAAGCATAATTGTAATATGCTAAGATAATGAAATATGATCTTCAAAGAGTTGGGAAAAAATTGTCAATTTACAATTCTATAATCAGTTAAATGACTATTCAAGAGTAAGGGCAGGATAAAACCATTTTTAGATATTCTAAGACTAAGAGAGTTTACCTCACAGGGATACTCAAAGAGCTATTAAAAAATGAGCTACAGTAAAAAGAAACATGAATTCAGAGAAGGGTGGTGCCCTAGACTGAATTACATTACCTGTCCTCTCTCCCAATGCATATGTTGAAACCCCAACATGGGCCTGTAAAGTGGGCCAAAGGTATTTCCCAAATCACATTGGTGAGAAAATGGAGCCCAGGCAGAAGCAGCAAATTTCAATCACATGAGGAGTCAAAGGCCAGAGTTTGGGGCTACCAACGTAGCTGAGACTTAAAAGGGACAAAACCCTAGAAAAGACAAATCCACAGAGAAGGGAATCCCCAAAAATCTGAATAGTCCCCCCGAGTTGTTGGCCTATGCTTCATACATGCAAGACCAGACTTCAAATCAGCTCACAGCAGAAGGCTAAAGAGCTGACCAGAAATCTTAGCAACCACATATTGTTGAAAGATGATGGAGTTTGAGACCAGCCTGAGCAAGAGCGAGACCCTGTCTCTACTGAAAATAGAAAGAAGTTAGCCAAACAACTAAAAATAGAAAAAATTAGCTGGGTGCGGTGGCATGTGCCTGTAGTCCCAGCTACTCAGGAGGCTGAGGTAGGAGGATTGCTTTAGCACAGGAGTTTAAGATTGCTGTGAGCTAGGCTGACGCCATGGCACCCAGCCAAGGCAACAGAGTGAGACTCTGTCTTTAAAAAAAAAAAAAAATGAGATCCTAAGAGAGCCAAGCCTTGAGGGTTAAGAGCAATATTAAAACAGACCTAAAAAAACGCCTAAACCAAACATTGACAGAATCATGATGATTTACCAGTATACCATTTGCCCACCTAAAACCTTAAACTACAACAGAAGATCATGTGGAGCCTCTTTTTTCACCCATAATGTCAAGTCTCTGATAAAAAAAATTACAAGGCCATGCATGACCAAAACAACACATACAACACACAAACACACACGCCTAAAAGGAACAAAGGAAAACAAACAAATGAACAAAAATACTAGGGAAAGACTAGAAACAGAAACCAACCCACATGCGATTCATGCACTGGAGTTACTTAACAGGGACACAGAAATAACTATGTATCCTAAAACAGGGGAAAAGGATGAAAACATTGTTGAAGAGAGATCAACAACATTGAAATTTATAAACAGCATCCTAGACAAAGCAGAAAAAAGCACTAGTGAACTGGAGGACAGATAAAGAGAATATTTCTAAACTGAAGCAGAAAAAAAAGGAATGGAACACACAAAGGAATATAAGGGATACATGGCTGGGCGTGGTGGCTCGTGCCTGTAATCCTAGCACTCTGGGAGGCCGAGGTGGGCGATGGCTCAAGGTCAGGAGTTCAAAACCAGCCTGAGAAAAAGTGAGACCCCGTCTCTATTAAAAATAGAAAGAAATTAATCAGACAACTAAAAATATATATAAAAAATTAGCCAGGCATGGTGGTGCATGCCTGTAGTCCCAGCTACTTGGGAGGCTGAGGCAGGAAGATCACTTAAGCCCAGGAGTCTGAGGTTGCTGTGAGCTAGGCTGATGCCACGGCACTCACTCTAGCCCGGGCAACAGAGTGAGAAGAGAGGAGGGGAGGGGGAGGGGAGGGAGGGAGCGGGAGGGGAGGGGAGGGGAGGGGAGAAAAGAAACAGTCAAAATTTATAAAATCTGTGTAACTAGAGGGGGGGAGGAGGGATTTCTTCATTTAACATGAGTTAAACATGGGTTAAAGAAGAAATCACAATGAAAATCAGTAACTATTTTGATTGAATGAACTGAAAGCTAATGAAAGCAAAATATATCAAGATTTGCAGAATGGAGAGGGAGGAGATATTTGAAGAAAGAATGACAAACTTGTCAAAAACAATGAAAGACATCAACCCATAAATTCTGGACCAAAACCAAGACAAAGAGATCATTCTGAAATCAGCCACAGAAAAAAAGACACATTATTTTCAAAGGAACAACCATAAGACAAATGACTACTTTTCAACAGACACTATGAGAGCTAGATGACACTGGAATGGCATATTAGAAGAGCTGAAGACAAAATGCCAACCTTGAGTTGTTAACACAATGAAAATATGTTTTAATAGTGAAGATAAAGACATTTGAAGACACATAGCTAAATGAATTTGTTGCCAGCAAACTGAAAGGATTTCTTCAGTCCCAAGGACAATGGTCCTAGGAGGAGG